TTCCTGTACATTATCCAAAATACATTTAAATGTCGTTCATGAAGTAATTAAAAGTATTAATTACATAGAGCATGTTCAGTAGAGAAAAAAACAGTTTCATTCTTTTTCAACAATTGTATCCACATTAAGTAGCTTTTCTTGATTTTTTCAACATTTAGAGTTTGAATTTCAACAAAACATTTCTTGAACATAATATAATATGCAACCGATACTGCAAATTAAAAAACTGCAATTTGGTAAAGTAACCCCCAAAAAAATCAAAATTTTGGGCTTCGTATTAAAAAAAATATCTGAACAGTTGACCGAGATTAACCTTCTTAGCGAACACTTTAAATTGATCTCTGACAAATGCAACTGAGAGAGAGACAGAGGGAGAGAGAGAGAGAGAGAGAGAGAGAGAGAGAGAGAGAGAGAGAGAGAGAGAGAGACAGAGAGAGACAGAGAGAAAGAGAGAGACAGACAGACAGACAGACAGACAGACAGACAGACAGACAGACAGACAGACAGACAGACAGACAGACAGACAGACAGACAAAAATAGAAAAAGGGAGATGGAGAGAAAGACAAGAGAGGGAGAGTGGGGGAGGGAGATGTGATCGAGAAAGAGGGAAGGAGAAAGTGAGAGATGGAAATAGATTTGGTGGCCGGGGGGGGGGGGGGGTGAATGTACACATATTTAAAGCGCACTTCAAAAATTTCATCCGTCGGCAACCTAAGGTTTCAATATAAGCCTAACACAGTATCCAATCCGACGAAACAGTTCGAATCAATGGCTCACAGTTTTGTACCGAAAAACGCAAGCATACACTTCACAATTTCCGAGCAAAGACGTGTTTCCGAGATCTTATAGCACAACTCGTCGACATCAAAACGTGACTTCCGGGTGTCGTACAGACGGTGTCTATCGCGCCGAAGACAGACAAGCAAAGACCCCTTGTGGTCGGGGGCGCAATAACCTACGACACTGAAGAGTGAGGGGAAGAGTGAGGGGAAGAGTGAGGGGGAGAGTGAGGGGAAGAGTGAGGGGGAGATGATGGAGGACGAAGGGAAGGGGAGGAGGAAAAGGAGGCAGCGGGTTAGGTTACGAGCAACAAATTCCATACATCCATACATCTCCCTACAGACATTTTCGCAAAATCTGTCCGAAAGTGAATTCTGCACTGCACTTTTTGTCCTGACGGATGGGACGAAAACGTCTCACGTCCTTTGTGAAAGTTTAAAATGTGAAAGTGCAAGAGAGAAATACTTATCAGGTGATCCTTCAGACTATCTAACACTAACAGCAGTTACGTACTTCAGTCTTATTTACTGCAAGTGCATTAATTCAGCTTACGAAGTTTGTATACTTTGTCGAAAGACAAAGTGCGAGGAAGAGCGTGAGTGTGTGTGTGTTGGGGGAGGGGGGTACATGATTACTAATACGCAACATGTCGACAATCTACAGCATCAACCCAATTAAGCCATCTGAGAGTACTGGAAACTGTGACTTTTCCACAAGTACGCACACTGATAACATTACAAACCCAGTCACTAGCTGAAACCGACATTTATGTGTACTTTCTAATCAATTACTATCCCAGCAAGGTTGCCAAATTAATCATTCTCCTCCTCCTCCAATTCTTCCTCCTCCCATTCTTTCCTCATCCTGCTCCTTTTCCTCTCCCTGCTCCCCCCCCCCCCCCCGCCCCCACACACTCCTGTTTCTTCTTGATCTTATTCTTATTCTTGTTCCTCCTCTTCTTCGTCGCCGTCAAGTAAGGATTTTACAACTGTTCAAACTCGCACCAGGGAACGATTTAGGTTGTGTGACTCCTCAAAAGGTCAGGGCGCTTTTGGGTATGTGTGTGTGGGTGTGTGTGTGTGTGTGTGTGTGTGTGTGTGTGAGAGAGGGGGGGGGGGGGGGGCGAAGAGAGAGATGAGTCCAGATCGGCAACCGGCATCAACAAGCGACAGGTGCTTTTGTCGAGCCGATTGTTATCCTATCGATCCGCACCTCCGGGGAGGGCACCCGCAAAACAAACGGACAATTTTGGAAGCTGCCGAGAAAGGGAGGACAGAAAGCACTTAACCCGTAGCCCCCAAAGCTCCACCACTCCAAGGAGTTTACACACACCTAAACTCTTTGCCCCACTCCCATCTCTCTCCACCATCGCCCCAAAAGTCGTGTGAACCCGCTATTGTACTTCGAGCATACCGCGTCTGTCTAATGGCACAGGCATAATTTATATGGCATCGTGGTAAAATCGGGCGCTCATCAAAAAATGAAATTGAAGAAACAGATATTTTTCCCACCTTTTGGCAATTTTTTCGTCCTTTTGAGAAACACGTTTTGGTGTGGATAGTACTGGAAATGGTTGATCAAAGGCACTGAAAATGTTGTTGTTTTTTATTTGCCGTCTCCAAGGAGTGTCAAGCCTTGGAAGTCACTAAAGTTTAGTGTCCATTTTCTCGCTAATTTTATCTCGGACGCGGGGGGACCCCCATTTACTTCAATCGAAAATAACTGGACTTTTATTGTGAAAGAAAACGTGAGTATGTGAGTGTGCGTGTTTACGTGTGTGTGTATGTGTGTGCGTGCGCATGTGTGTGTGTGTGTGTGTGTGTGTGTGTGTGTGTGTGTGTGTGTGTGTGTGTGTGTGCGCGCGCGGGCGCGCGCGTATAAGCGTATGCATAATATACATTATTATGTTTGCATGAATGACAGTGCTTGTGTGAATATGAGCATGAATGTGAGGGTGTGTACATATGTGTGTATGTGCATGTGTGTGGTTGTGTGTGTGTGCGTGTGTGTGCGTATGTGTGTGTGAGTGTGCGTGAGTGAGTGTTAATTTGTCTGCTCATCTGTCTGTCAGTCTTTTGGGGTAGCTTGCGACTGATTCTAGAAAATCGTGTACAAGCAACACAGATTCTACAGATTCTCTTAGTCCCCAAGCAGGGCAAATACATAGGACATTATATGTGAGGCAGCGTGGTGGAATCAGGCTCTCGTCAATTTTTGGGCATGTAGAGTTATTGGTATCACCGTAAAGCTTGTTCACTTGTCTTTATTTGGATGAAAAAAATATCCATTTATCTTGAATACAAGTCGAGATATTTGCGAAAGAAGGAGGTGGGGGTCACTTGTTTTCAGAAGTAAAATTAGTGAGAAAATGGCCGCCAAAGATTAGTTATTTCCTTAGCTTAATAGTCCGTAGTAACTGAAAATTTACATTTTTTGTGCCTTTATTCAATGTTTTTCAGAAAAATCCACACAGACAGGAGTTCTTTAATGGGCATGAAAGGTTTTGAGCCAAAAAACAAAAATTTGATAAAAATTCACAAACCTGCGGAAAAAAGCAAGTTCCTTCACTTTGATTATTTTGACGAGTGCCTGATTCCACCACGCTGCCTCACATATTGTTCCGGAGGACAGCAAAGAAATCGATCGGCTTTCTCTTACACTAGCGAGTATGCCAAGTCTCCAAGTAGAACAAAACCGTCAGCGAAGATCAAGCAAACCAAAGGCAAGTAACACAAAGGAGCACTAGACTTCGCTGAGCATGTTTCTTGATATCTTTCTTTTTCTTTTTTTTTTTGGGGGGGGGGGAGATAATTGTTTTACGGCACTCGCAACTATATAAAGTCTGTCATATAGCACACCAAACATTTTCAATTGGTTGGAAATTTTGAATTTTGCCCGGGTGGCGGCCGAAGCATACTCTTATCGATTTTGGACCACCAAGGGATCTTTATCGTGTTTTCGCTCTTGTCCAAGAAGGCTAGGTGAAGCTCTTTCCTACCAGAAGATCAGGGGTGTGGCTGAAAGACAGCAGTGAGAAGGAGCCAAAGAGTAGCAGTAGAAAGGCTGCAGAAAGAATCAGGAGCCCAGTGGAGAGGGCAAAGGAGGTGAGGGGGTGGGGGAAGAAAGTGGAGACGAAAGCAGACGACAGAATATAGCAGGAGAGAAGGAAAGAGGGTGAAAGGAGACAAATTTAGAGAAGAAAATTTTTCCGTCGCTACCCGGATTCCATCCCGGAACCTTTGAATGATAGGCAAACACCTTAACCTCTAGGTCGCAAGAGCCCCCTTCTAGATATCTCTCCACCTCTACTAATGAAGTGTTTTTGTTTCCCTCTCAGAAGACAACGTGTTCCATCCCACCTACTCCAGAATCAGATTTAAGAAGAGCCAGAGAAGGAAAAATCCTAAGAATTCCACCTACCACAAAGGCAAAAACAGGTACATCAACACAGACCTTATTTCGCATATATCAGGAACACTCCCCTACCCCTCACCCCAAATACCCTCCTTCAAATCAGGACAAAAATTCCATATGTGAGGCAGCGTGGTGGAATCAGGCTCTCGTCAAAATAATCAAAGTGAAGAAACTTGCATTTTTCTGCAGATTTATGAATTTTTATCAAATTTTTGTTTATTGGCTCAACACCTTTCATGCCCATTAAAGAACTCATTTCTGAAAGGATTTTTCTTAAAAACGTTGATTAAAGGGACAACAAATGTAAAATTTTCGTTACCACGGACTCTTAAGCTAAGAAAATAACTAATCTTTGGTGGCCATTTTCTCACTAATTTTACCTCTGAAAACAGGTGACCCCCACCTCCATCATTCGCAAATATCTCGACTAGCATTCAAGATAAATGGATATTTTTTCCATCCAAATAAAGACGAGTGAACAAGCTTTACGGTGATACCAATAACTCTACATGCCCAAAAATTGACGAGAGCCTGATTCCACCACGCTGCCTCACATATACAGTCAAAATTATCAAGACAGCCACCAACTCCAAAAGTGGTTGTCCTAGACAGGTGGGCACTTTGGACAATGTCATTATGAAATTTTAAAAATGCAAGGGGTAAAATAGGAAGTTGCTGTTTGTACATGTGATCATCTTAGACAGGTGATCGATAGAGTTGTAGGTTAGACAGAATATGGAATCCAAAAAGATTAAAATCTCCTGTTATGGCCTGTGAGAGCTCCTGAAGTATGAGTTTCACTCACCTCCACAGCATCCCGCATGTCAAACTCCTGCTGAGTCACGCCTGGATGCTCTACGCCTCCCTGCTGTTGACTGTGCACAGCCATGATGATTGACTCCTCGTACATTTCCTGCACAAATCAAAGAAATGAGAAGGTTCTAGAGATCCATTCAATGATCATAAAGAAGTTGAACTGCGTTGAAAACGTTTGGGTTTACTTTGATCACAGCTTCTTATGATATGAACAACTCTCAATATAATATAAACTGTTGGGTTTTGCATCTGAAACTTTGCTGGATAATAGGACAGTAGACCACTTACAAAGTTTCTGCGTAATTTAATTCACCATAAAAAACATTAATTGTTTTCATTTTTATGGAAATGCAATTTCAGCTCTCTCCCTTATTTGTGATGTAATAGACAGCCAATTCCTCTGATATCTAAAATGATCCCAGTATGGTTTGGCAACACAGCATACTATTTAGAGGTACTTTGATATTTAACCATTACTTTCAGAGCTCGAATACAAGTATCTTTCCACAGCTAGTCACAAAAACAAAGGCATGGATAGAGGTCAGCTTTTCGGGGGGGTAAAAGAGATTTGGGGTTCTAAGGTACCTAATGAGATTATTAAAATCTTGAACACTTTGAAGGCTAAAGAAGGTGTAAAGGGATAGGGAGGGGGGAGGGGGATGGGGGGGGGGGGGGGTTCAGTGGCCATGTGGTTAGTGAGTTCAAACTTTCTAATAACTTCAAGCAATGTGTAAAGGAGGGCATACAGTGAGGTCCTTGGTAAAGACAGTTTTAAGGCCAGGGGTCACTGAGCTGTGTTGTTGAGCAATTCTTTTTTTTGGGGGGGGGGGTAAGTGTTTTACGGCGCTCGCAACTGCATAAGGTCAAATGAGCTCATGGAACAAACAGAACATTTTCAGTCGGTAGGAAATTTTGAATTTTGCGCGGGTGGCAACTGAAGCCTACTCTTATTGATTTTAGATCACAAAGGGATCTTTAATGTGCTTAACTTGCATACAGGACCTCCGAAATTTTTCGACGTTGTCTGACAAGGCTAGGTGTAGATCTTTCCTACCAGAAGATCAGGGGTGTGGCAGGAAGACAGCAGTAGGAAGGAGCCAAGGAGTAGCAGTAGAAAGGCTGCAAAAAGAGTCAGGAGCCCAGAGGAGGGGGCAAAGGAGGTGAGGGGGTGGGGGCAGAAGATAGAGACGAAAGCAGACGACAGAACATAGTTAGAGAGCAGGAAAGGAGGTTAGGTGAAAAGAGACAAATTTATAGAAGAAAATGTTTCTGGTGCTACCAAGGACTTTTGAAAGAGAGGTGAACACCTTAACCTCTAGGCCACGAGAGCCCCCGAGCAATTCTTATGAAAAAGGGAGCAGAACAGAGGTAAGAAGCAATAGCGTGTTTGTAAGAAGTATGTGTTATGTGAGGCAGATAGGACCTCTGAATCACTTTTGTATTTATTATAGTATTTGCTGTTGTAGTCTATATTCCCCAACAACGAATCTAAAGAGTGGAATTCTAGTTATTCATTTTATTGTTCTTTATGTGACAGAGCCATTTAAAAATTCAGGGGTTATTGCAATGAAAGAATGCAAGCGATTACTTTCTACCTTAAAAATAGGTAGAATGTTCCTCTTCTTACGATACAAAACAAAACGCCCACAACAGTGTTGGAGGCAACATCAGAAATTGTTTCAAGAGGGATGTTATTTTCAGGAAGTGAGGCATTGGGTATCAAAAAAAAAAAGGAGCAACAAATAGTTGTTGTTAATGAACATCCACTTGAGAAATGAAACAAAATATCGCTGTCAACACACGTATTGACATTTACGTCATTGCATATAAATTGAAGAGGATGCATTTTTTATGGAGTGACTTATCTCATTCCAAAAAAACTGAAACAGCTCATGTGAAAAGTGAGAGCATATGTGAAGGGTGCTGACAAAATGAGTTACTTCTCGGATTCGAGCCTTTGAAAATAGATACATCAGCCTTACAGGTGAAGCTGCTACAATTTATAAGTATGAAATAATAAAAGCATTAATACCTAAAGAAGATGGTATCAATAAAAAATCTACAAATTTTACCTTAGTGTTGATTTTTGGCCAATTTCTCAATTTGGGGATTGCGAGAAGTAACCCGTTTTGTCAGGACACCCCACATATTATATCGGAGAAAAATTCAGTTGTTCACCTCTTGTTTTTTCAGGGCATAATGCACAGCACTTTTCACCAGCAGATCTGTGATGACGTCCTTCTGGGACTGGCGGTCAAGGTCAGAGTATGCCACCTCTTCTTGTACCCCGCCCTGGGTCTTGATCACTCGGATGTTGTGAAGTCTGTCGGATCTCTGACCCAGGACTTCGGAGTCATGGTCATCAAAATCATCTTCCTCCACTTTTTATATTGGAAGTTGATGTTGCACGAAGCATGAAAAAAAGAACATAGTTGACACTGAAGTAAAGCCTTCATAAAGTGGTTGTATAGTTTTGATTTTAGTAAAAGTTTTATGGTACTTGCAATATAATAAAGTCACACAAGTGCCAAAGATTAGAGATTTTACTAGAAAGTAACAAACACATAAAAAAAGGAGGAGAGATAAAGATGATAAATGTTTGATAGGAATAAAGGAGCAAACTACACCAGTGCTCCTTCCAACCACCCACGAAAAGGTGGTTTGATTATTTACTTATCAGTTTGCTTTGAGAACAGCAAGTAACAAAGGCATGTTGAAAAAAAATAACTTCACATTTACAGAGTATATGTTGATACCTTTCTGATTGAGATCAGAAAGGAAGAAACAAAACCATATTATGGTAATACAGAACCTTGATCATGTTTCTGTTTTGGAAGTGTTATCATTTTTCAAAAGTTTTTCTTTCATTGGGCAGAAGATGTTCAACACTTGGCAAAGTCAACTTTGAACATTTTTTGTTCATTTTGAGTTTTTGGGGGATGGGGTCTTTTCATTTCAAAGAGTGCCTTTTGTTAACAAATTTCATGGTGAAGCACTCTATCCAAGTTGAGAGAAAATGCTTTGGAGAAAAAGATTAAAAATTAGTTACCCACATTGACTCAGACCTCAAACTTAACATAATTTGTTCCATTCATATAATCCAAATGTAAAAGAACAGCAGGCCAAATGTTGCAAGTTAAAAGGAGGCATCCAGTCCCGTGTGTCATGAGCCACTCTATGTGGAAAAACCTTGCATTGCAATTCATGTTATAATGCTTTCTCTTTAGCTCCTTTACTAACTCACTCTGTCCTTCCCTCTATCCCCCCTCCCTCTCTCTCCCACATCTCTCTCTCTCTCTCTCTCTCTCTCTCTCTCTCTCTCTCTCTCTCTCTCTCTCTCTCTCTCTCTCTCTCTCTCTCTCTCTCTCTCTCTCTCTCCCTCTCCCTCTCCCTCTCATTCATATTATGATAAAGCATTCTCTTAAGCTCCTTTTCTCCTTCCCTTCTTCCTCTACCCACCTCCCCCCCCCCCTTTTTTTCATTTTCTATTTCATCCTCCCCCAAAAATATGAACAAAGTGTCATCACATGAGCTTACAAAACTGTGTGGGAGCCCGGTAGAAGGTGTATCCTGACAGGCTTCCTGGCATCATCAACATGTTGCGCATAAGGCGGTACGGCTGGGGCATGTGAGAGAGGTCTTCGTAGAACAATCGCCGTCGAAGGTTTGGCACCACCAGGTTGTAGTGATACAGAGACCTCTCTGTGATGTAGCCTGTCCGGGACAAAAAATATTTTAGGCAATTTAGTACTGAAATGAAACCTTAAAGATGAACGTACATATTATGATCAATGTGCCCGTAACGGATTGTCTTTACTCAAGGATGTACTGAAGAGAGAGAGGATGAGAAGAGAGAGAGAGAGAGAGAGAGAGAGAGAGAGAGAGAGAGAGAGAGAGAGAGAGAGACAGACAGACAGACAGACAGACAGACAGACAGACAGACAGACAGACAGACAGACAGAGACAGAGAGACAGAGAGACAGAGACAGAGACAGAGACAGAGAGAGAGACAGAAACAGAATGAGATCCTCGAGGTCTGATTGGCCAATTATAGAAAGCCTGCACTTTAAACATTTGTTGCTTTTCCACTGACAGCCAGCCAGAATGATCAATCTGGTTTTTTTCAGTCGTTAGTTTTTAGTTTAGTTTTTAGTTTATAATGGGGTTTTACGACGCTCACAACTGCATAAGGTCATATAAGCGCGCGAAACAAGTTGGTTTTTTCTCAACAGCTCACTGCTCGGATGGTTTCTGGTCAATATTTGTAATTAAAATTGTTACAACGCAAAAAATGCAGTGTAAATAGATTGTTAGTTTGATAATATGATATGTGTTTGATGATCCTTTTCAACACTGTGAGATTACTTCTGAGGCAGTACCTCCAAATAATATCTATTTCCTCTAAGTGAGGGGAGATGAAAACTCTCCAGACAATCCAAGTTCAGAAACATCCTATTGGGGACTCGAACGAAGATCCTCCACATCATAGTCAAAGGAAGCAGGATATTATCAAAGCTAACAGGGCATTTTTTCTTATTGCATTTGCAAAGACTGTGCTAATAGTGGGAAGAAATTGTAAACTATGAATACATTTACTTTTTCCAAATAACAGTCTTGAGAAATGATAAACTCTCACCTTTCTTGATAACATTTCCAAAGACGGTGTCATCCCAGTTGCGAGTCCATGTGGATAAATAACGCTTGGCAGAGTAGCCCGGACGTATCTGACGTTCAAAATTGTCCCGACGAGCGTGTACAAACTTGAGATACACCTTGTCATCTGGGCGGTCCTGACATAGAGAAATCAAAAAAATGTTTAAGAAAACAATCATTTTCTGTCTGTGCTTCTGATGTGTGTCATACTTTCACCCTTCAGCCAATTGGTATGATCTGTGCATCTAAAGTTGTGTACAGAAGCTGAACATAATAATATACAACTTTTCTGGTTCCCATTTGGCCACTTTATCGTTTCACTAAAATGCGTGTGTATAGGTCTGAGTGTATGTGTGTTTGAGTGTGTGTGTGTGTGTGTTTGAGTGTGTGTGTGTGTGTGTGTGTGTGTGTGTGTGTGTGTGTGTGTGTGTGTGTCTTTTAGTGATGTGTGCGAATTGGTGTGAATGTAGGCCAGGTCCTCCATTGATCGTTGTAAGTTTGTATGTGCGTATGTGCATATGTACGTATGTGTGTATGTGTGTACGTATGTGTGTATGTGTGTGTGGTGCGTGCATGCGTGAATATGTGTGTGCACGTGTATGTAACACTATGTGCCTTTAAAATTGATTTGTAAATCCATAATATGTATCATGTTAAGCGCATAGAGCATTGCATAAGTGGATGTGGGCTATATAAATGCAATCCATTATTATTATTATTATTATGTGTGTGTGTGAGTGTGTGTGTGTATGTGTGTGTGAGTGTGTGAGTGTGTGCGTGTGTTTGTGTGTGTGTGTGTGTGTGTGTGTTCGTGCGTATGAGTGTTTGTGTGTGTGCGTGTGTTTGTGTGTGTGTGTGTTTGTGTGTGTGTGTGTGTGAGAGTTCGTGTGTGTGTGTGTGTGTGTGTTTGTGTGTGTGTATGTTTGTATGTATGTGTGTGAGTGTGTGTGTGTGTGTGTGTGCATTCGTCTCTCTATCTGCTGTGAGCGATGTGTGCAAGCGGGTGATAGTGAGTGTGTGTGTATGTGTGTGTTTGTGTGTATTAACTCATACCATATCATACAGACACAAACAAACAAGAACATTAGATAACTGCATGTCATTGTGCCACTAAGAAGAAAGGTTTCATTCTTTTTGCTATCCTTAAGTTGTCTTTAGAGATTCGAACAAACACTGCCTATTTTTTATCACATTTACACCAAGTAAAAGCAATCTTAAATGATTTAAAATTTGAGAAGAAAAATTACGAGTCAAATGACCGTGTTCTCCTTTAGTCAATAAGCTTTAATATCAGAGTAAAAAAAAAAGAAAAGAAAATGTCTGCGAAAGCTGTCCATTTATTAACCTTATCCGTACGCCCTGGGGTCATTTTGTACCCCCGGGGTTGTATTCTTCATATTTTAGAATACTTCTAGTCCGGATCTCTTTGAAACTTTCAGTATTTCTTAAAAAATCATTTTGACAGACTGCTATGCAAAGCGTACGGATAAGATTAACAAGTAAATTTCCTCTTTGGAAAGTGGTGGCACAGAGTTCCCCATGTCATATGGATACGATAGTAAAACACGACGTACGGATAGGGTTAAAAGGCATATTGCACAAAGCTACTTACATGTGATCCGTATTTGAGAATGGATTGTGCCAGGTCCTCCACTGTTTTTAGGTAAATCTGAAGAAAAAGAAAAAAAGAAAAGAAATAAAAAAACTACATGAAAAATGATAGTGAAGGGCTAAGATAACAAACAATTTTGAGAAACAGTTTTCTTGGAATGATCACTTGCATCTTTCTCAGTCTATCATATTGAGATTAAGGGAAAATTGCTGCCCTCCTGGAAACTGTTCACTGCTGTGGCTTACCTTGCTCAAAGGAAGCCTGGTCATGAAGTACTGTCAACTAAATTCAAACGGAAAGCATTTGTGCAACATCGTGATGAAATCAGCTGCTTGTCAATATAAGCAGTTCTTTTTCGAAATTTTGTTTTTTGGATGAACACCTTTTATCTCCATTTAAAAACACATAATCTCTATGTTGATTTTTCTGAAAAACGTTGATTAAGGGCACAAAAATGTAAATTTTCAGTTTCCAAGAATTCTCAAGCTCTGGAAGTCACCAAACTTTTATTCAAGATAAATGGGGGCAGGGAAGGGGGGGGGGTCCATCAAAAGTTATATAAATTAACAATCTTTAAGGTGATACCAATAACTCCACATGCCCAAATATTGATGAGCACCTGATTCCACTGTGTCATGAAACATTCGCTCTTTTCCACAAGTTTGACACTCCTGCAATACCTTTCAAAATGCCACAACATTTACTTCAGGAAGCTATATTTTCATTGCTGCTCCCTTTCCAAAAGAATCAACTCTTTCCAAAAAATTGGCTCTGAACAAATATCTGGTTATGTTTAACATGCAAGTTATAAAAGAATAAAATACTCCCGGGAAGCACTGCATTACATCCAGTCAAAATGTACACACTAATATACAACATGTGCTGAGAAGGAGGACCTGTTAGCTCTTCAGCAAATGCTGAATATACATTATATATATATATATACATATGTATATATATATAAATATATGTATATTATAATATATATAATATATCATTAAAAAATTTATGAAAATGGTGTACGAAAATGTGTCAGTCTCTTTGACTTCATAATTTTGACGAATGCCTGAATCGAATACGATGCCTCACAATTATCTGAAGCATCCTTTGACGAGATGCTAAGAAATATTGCTCCTTGGGACGAGTAAAACGTCAAAGTGAGCTGATCTTTGGACTAGCACATATACCTGCGGGTCAACACTGCTGGCAGGTGTAAGGCTGTGGCTGGTCTGAGCCTGACTAGCTGCTCTCCTCCGGGCAGCGGCCGCCCTTTCCATGTTCCTCTGAGCCAAGTCCTCAGAGAAAAGCAATAAGGCCCCTTTCCTTGTGGTGAAAGTTTTGGGTACCCGAAATTCCTTGGACTCCCTTGGGGATCGAGTGCTGATGGTTGGGCTTGCATTGATGAAGGATGGATAATTGGAGGATAACGGTGGCAAGTAAAATTTGTTTGGGTTCTTTGAGAAGTTGTAGTAATCCTGGAAAATAAAACAAACAAACAAACATAGTCAATCAGTGCTTAGAATGCTGTCTAAAAAAATCATGACATATTTACCAACCGGACAGTTATGCATATACGGTGAAGAAGCGAAATCTACACGTCACAAAAAGAAATAATCAACTATACTTTGCTCACAGTACAAGGCATGGCATAGTTAAAACACTATACTGGTGAAAGTAAAGACATAGGACTAACAGGAAACTAAAGCAAGTATTCACAGTTTACAGAAGTGTAATTATTTTGAAGTCGTATTTTATTTTGTAATATAAATGATTAATTTTAACACTTATTCAGAATTTTAATATGAAGAGCGTTAAAAATACAGTCAAACTCCATTATACTGCCTACCCAATGAAGTTGGTGGAACAGCAGGGCTGGTGGTACAAAGAGGTTTTCATGTCTTCTGTTAAATACATGTAGCACAATGACAACCTGCCCAACATCAAAAGAACTTGAGTACCAATCACTAGATGAAGTAAAGCATCATCTCCGTTCGATCTGTCACTTAGGCTAGAACAAGAGTCCTCACAAAATAAAAGCCTCACAGGCATTCCTCCCCTTGTAATTTATTTGGGGCTGATATCAGGCAATTTAAAATTTAGTTCCAAATGTTAAAAAGATATTGACCAAGGCCTAAAAATAATAGCATTTTCATAAACCTCACATCACGTGGGGAGAAAAATTTTATGTTGAATTACAAAGTTATGCTTTATTTTACTTGTACTCTTCTTCATTAAACATTGTATTGTCAAGGTTATACTGTTTAAGTTATTAGAGGCTTTCCATTTCTACTGATTGTGGGAGAATGCCATAACATTTTCTTAATTGGGTGTCTTAACTTTCCAAGAATTAATTGCTCATGAGAAATTTCATTGGCGTGCTGCAAACTGCTGCACTATACAGCTTCCAAGCCAATTTGTCTCAACAACCAATCAAGGAAACTTTGTCACCATTACAAAAAATCTAGCATTCAGTTTAACATTCAACATTGCTGATATTTTATATCAATTAAACTGCATGCACACATGAAAACAACAGCGAGTATAGCACACTTTTTCATAAATTCTTTCAATAACAAGAAAGTTAGTTCACAGCAAAGTTAATAGAAAATATATAGAATCTAGAGGATAAAAAATGACTGTGTACCCTATTGCTTATTGTAGGCTTACTGATAACTTTCATTTATATTTATTCTTTTCATTCGTCATGGATTCGACTAGCTAGGTTTACAAAATTGTTAAGCATAATAATATATCAGGTTTCCAGTCTTAAACATAATCAATAATAGATAAGTTAAAGAGAGTAATAAAAACTACCAGTTAGTCACTTTTAATTTCACCCTGTGTATGAACCGATTATAATGAATAAGAGATTCAGGTACAACAAAGTAGAAAATGCATACCTCTGGTTCAAGAAACACTTCCACTTTTTCATGTCCATTTTTGTGAACCTCACCAACTCCTCTGCTCAGCAGAGACAGATTAAGGGCTCCACCAGTCATGGCACCTCAATAAGATGACTCCACAAACATCAATAACAACAGTGGCAGATCATGTCTGAAATTGTTTTAAAGTCTGAAGAATAATGGTCTATATACTTTCCTCCTTCCTTAGAACATGACACCGTCTTCGACTGAACTTTCAACAGTACAAAAGAACTAAAAATAGACCTCAAGTAGACCTGCTCCAGACAAGGGATTTGTTGTTTGTCGCTAACATATAAGGCCCGATCAAACGACGTGTGTTCAATCAAGCGGCACAGAGAGGATTATGCAGTTCAGTCATTATGCAAAAAAGTTAGATCAAATAAAAATCTTCGCTAGCGACATAAAAGAATTGAAAAAGTGTGTGCTTATTGAAAATGTTGCGTTTACGAAGGAAAACTGTTGTAAATAACACCGACTTGAATTCGCTCAAAGGGAAGGGCGACGAGATATAGCGCCGCCATATTGTTTGACGTTGCCAAGTGCTGACCGCCATAGTCTTTTAGGTCTTTCGTTCTTTTCGCGTGTTAAGGGTGGAACGACTATTCTATTATTTTCTGTTGCAATACTCTTTTTGTAAAGCTGAAAATGCTTGAGGTACTATTGTTAATCCTGCTGTTGCTGCTTTTGTTGTTGATGCTGCTTCTTCTGTTATTGTTGCTACTGCTACTGCTGATGGGCTATTGCTGCTGCTGATGTTGTTGTTGTTGTTGCTGCTGCTGCTGCTGCTGCTGCTGCTGCTGCTGCTGCTGCTGCTGCTGCTGCTGCCTCTGCTGCTGCTGCTGCTGCTGCTGCTGCTGCTGCTGCTGCTGCTGCTGCTGCTGATGATGATGATGATGATGATGATGATGATGATTTTGTTTCCTTAATGGGCCTGGCGGACTCCACGGAGAAATATTCGAGCGAGAGCGAGGCTCTTTTTCGGCTCCATTGTCAATATGCTTAGCGGCACCTCCACTCGTCCAAATAACTCCATTCGAATTGCCATTGATCCTGGACATTCAACCATATGTTTGACATTCTCCTTTTCATGGCCGCATTTTCGACAACGTGGGCTGAGCTCTTCATTTACAAAGTTCTTATACCATCTTTAGGCTCCAATGATGGTCCAACCGCAGTCTTGTTAGTTCCTGCTCCTGAGCGACATATTATGATATTTTGTTCCCGCTTACAGGAGTACCCAGAACACACATCTTCCAGGTACTGGTACTTAGCACTGCATTGTGGGTCTCTGATTTTCCTCTTGATCATTGGAAAGACTCCTTTGCATGTTGTTGGAGGTCTGTCTCCTTCAATCTCTCTGGCTTCATTAGCAGCCTGTTCTGCTGCCTCATTTCCTTCGATTCCAACATGGCTTGGAATCCACTTGATTTTTATTGTGGCTGTGGTTTCACTGAACTTGCGGCGCAAATCATTAATGTCCGAGCTGTTGCCTAGCAGTCCCTTGCGCAGAGAGACTGACTGTCAGTCAAGATCAGCACATTGGTTCTACTTGATGATGATGATGATGATGATGATGATGATGATGATGATGATGATGATGATGGTGATGGTGATGGTGATGGTGATGGTGATATGGTGGTGGTGATGATATATAGTCCCCATATTGACCTTCCATTATGGCGTACCCAAGTGAAGTTTAATTAGATCAAAAATAAGGAATTACAATTAAGATGTTTCTCTTACTTTCAGATACGAACTTTTAATGTCATTAAAAATGCCGACTTAAAAAAGGCGAAAGCGACGTATGTTATGCAGAGCGTCAAGGGATCTATTTTAGGGAGTGGTGTTCTATTTCTATGGTAACGTTCGAGATCTGTCCCGGGAGTAAGTTTCTCTATTTATGTAAAATCGACAACTTCTATTTTATGGGCTTGAGATTTTTGAGAATATCTGCAGGAAAACATGTGTTCTATTCAACATAACAACCGTTGATCTCAAAGCACTTTTTCATCCTATAATCATAATGTAGCCAGAGGTCAAACACACTGACCATGCCTGCTTCGGCCAGCTTGAGTTCTCAGCGTAGCAGTTGTTTCGAGCACAGTTTCTTTCTCGACTTCAAATTACTGGCCCCTTATTGGCCCCTTATTGGCCATCTATGATTTGGGGAAGAAATGAAAAGTCGCATATTATGGTGAAAAGTTCGGATAAAAGTGGGGATAATCACTTAATGTTCTACTGCCAGGAGTCCAGGAGATCCGGCGGTGAACTTTCGATCCTACTGGCGCGGCGTTGTACAACGTCATGATGTACTTAGACCACAGAATTCTACACTTAGTGTAGAATTCTGTGACTTAGACAACATTTTGCGTAACCATATCCGTACACCCTGGGGTCATTTTGTACCCCTTGGGTTGTATTCTTTACATTTTAGAATACTTCTAGGTCGAAGACCTCTTTGAAACTTTCAGTATTTCTTTTTTTTAAAAACATTTTGACTAACTGCTACAAAAAGCGTAGACCTGAAGATCAGATTAACGAGTAAATTTCCTCTTTGGAAAGAGATGGCACAGCGAGTTCCCCACGTCGTATGGATACGATAGTAAAACACGACATACGGATAGGTTTCAGCAGACCCGGCCATTTTCTTTTGATTGCTGGTTTCGGCTTTGTTAAAAGAACCATCTTGTAATAGCCTTGACTGTTGTGTCAAAAGGAACGGACCATACAGCTCGATCGAAACCAAACCTTTGTGGTCGAAAAAACATGATGTGCATCACTTTCAAAGCAACCTATAATGATATTATTGCTTGCGTCGAGCTTTCTGGGGTTGTTGAGATCCTGGGGTTCTGTCGTACCCCTCGAATATACCTTCGTTTCATCACCTGTTGTGATTTTTTTTTTTTAACACAACGCGGTTCTTTGTGGTTGTGTTTATAATAATTATAACTCAAAGCAGAAAAAAGGCCCATATTCCATTTTCTTTTTTTTTTTCAAACCCTCGAGTCAGAATCAGATAATCTCTTTGACACTTGTGTACGCTGTGTGTTTGACTTTCTCTACTTATAAGCCTCACGGGACACTAAAAGTGTTCTTCTAAAGGTGGTGGTGGTGGTGGTGGCGGTGGTGGTAGTGGTTTGTGTGTGTGTGTGTTTGTGTGCGCTAAATCCCTTTTCTTTTCACCCCGAGAAAAAACAATTATGCAAACTCCGATAAGACCGCGATTCGCATGTCAGTGTGATTACAATTTTTTCAAAGCAAACTTTTAGAGGGGATGAACAGAAATCGGTGTTACTTTTTTCAAAATTTATTTTAAGAACAATATTATTAAATAATTATAATTATTTTTATTTAGATTAAATAGTAATTAGCAGGTAAGCTTATAATATTATGGGACCCCACGCCAAACAAGAGTCCGCAGTAGACAGTCATACCTCTAACATTACAAATGAAACACACAATTGATATCCTTTGTCTTTTAACAAAATTTATTATCATTGAGGGTGTGGATTCAAAAGGCTCAAGATCAAGGTACCGGGGTTACGTCGCTGGCACGGTTAGATTGTTGTTTGACAATCGGAATGGAACATCGGAATGGAACACTTTAAAATCCGAAACTTCAGGAGTCCGACCGAAGTCGGAACTCTCCACCAGGCATATCCGAATCGAAACTAGGCGAACCAACTCTCTTGTTTTCCTCAGACTGGCACTGCACACTCAACACTGCACACTGCTAGACTGCACTGATTTGCCTGCCTGCCAGCACTTCCCCAACGCTGAATGCTGCTGTTGTTGTAAACAAAAACAGGAGTGTCATGAGACGAGGCTTTAATAATACACAATAGACCTACTCACAGTGACCAGATTTTGATCTTGATCTCCGTATTTTTTTCTCTCTTCCTTCGCCTTTTGTCATGGACGGAGGTGGGGATCTCGGTTCTCATACTCATGTGTCCAAGTCGGCTTCAGGCCCAGGGTCTCTGTTGTCTAAACCTCCAAAATTTTTATCAATCCTGACAGATGAGTGGAGTGAACTTCGCGAATCGGATCGGGTAGGTTGGCAATTACTGGTTCACTTATCAATTTTAATCGCAGTGGCTACGTTCACGGCACCCACCTGAATGTAGTTCGCAATTTAAGACTTAAAATAATCGGTGGTTTCTCTGTAGTTCCCACCCCCCCCCCTTATTTGGTGCTTTTTCGGTAGTTCCCACCCCCCTTATTTAAGCCTGACATACATCAAGATCTATGCATTTTGTATAAATGCGCGGCAAGCTAAGATAACATGCCGTTAATCTTAGAAATGACGCATCTTTCTGATTGGCTGCTTATTTTAGTAATGTGATGTCATCACTTCCTGGGATACCCAAACATGGAACGATGTGTTTTCGGTAACATTTCGGATTTTCTAGATCTAGATCTAAATTTAGATCTACCACCCCCCCCCCCCTCCTGCATTTTTAATCACTAATACATTTTTTAAAATAAACAACAACTTCAAAGTCAAAGCAACTCTACAAATTAGGCCTATAATTTATGGAACTGTTGGTCAGTCGGGAGGAGGAAATGAGAAAAAAAAACTGTCCGGAACCGGAATCGAACCGCTCCAAAAGTCATTGCTCGACATCAAACGTAGACGCGCTATCAAATCAGCTATCAGAAATTCCGAGAATTTGTGTAGATTAAGCATAATATACATAGACACTTCCATCTCTGGTGCCATGCGGTTGTCTATACTTAGATGTAGTCACGTGATTGGAGGGGTATCCTGGTCTGACGTCAAACAAGATGGGCGCCTTACCTAAAAATAGTTTGCATCATTTCTACTTTTAATCGCATGTGCTAAGATATCAAACCTAACAACTGCAACACATCAAATTATGGTAAAATTCAGGAGGGCATGCCGCCCTGAAACCCGCCCACCATATATTTTTATTAGGTCCCCCCTGAAACCCCCCCTACTCTTGAGGCCAAAACCGGCGAATAACAATTGCGGGTTGGGAGCTACCGAAAAAGCGCCCTCTTATATATTTGAGCCTAGATCTACCTCTAGATCTAGACGTTTGATGCGCAGCGAGCTCAGATCAAACCTAACAACTGCAAAATGTCAAATTATATTGGTAAAATTCTGGGGGGGCGAACCCCGCACCTTATTTTTATCAGGTCTGGGGGGCAACCCCCCCCTGAAACCCCCCTACTCTTGGGGCTAAAACCGGCGAATAACAATTGCGGGGTGGGAACTGCCGAAAAAGCGCCTAATGATCTTGCTCACTTCACCCCTTACCCCTACCCTTTTGCCTTTTGCCTTTTGCTTCTCTTCTTTTTTTCACTCCCTGCCACCCCTTTTCCCGCCATGGCCTTCTTCCATTCTCCCTTGTTTCTTCGCACGACTTTTATTTTCAAATAGTCAAGCGTTGCCAGATCCACACACGGGAAGAGGATCGAAATTCTGTTCCACACTCTGAGCGAGCGAGGCCTTGTCAACTGCAGCTGTTTTGCTGGGCCCGCCTTAAAAAATTGCCTTCCGTAAACTCAGTTGCATTCGGACCACCGCTGCATTATTTTTCAAGTACTCTTTCCTCATTCACTTTGAACGACCGTAGCATTTCAGTTATATGCCTCTATTCCTATGGTGGATGATTCAGGGCGCAGTGAACGTAGCCTGCAAACTACGTTCAAGTTCAAGGCGTGGAAGGCGAATTGCAACAAGTCTGCTTCACATCCGGCACACCTAGTGATGGTGCACCACATAATTCTACACTTAGGGTAGAATTCTGTGTTGTGCTCGCGCATTGGAGTTTGAGTCCAAATAGCCACGGAAGGCTATTCGGACTCGAATTCAGACTCGAGTCCGAAAAGCCATGGGAGGCTGTTCGGACTCGAGTCCGAATAGCCACAGCCTTAAAACAATACACTGCTGGACTGATCATATATTGGTTTGCTCCTTTTTTCCTATCAAACATCTATCGTCCTGATCTCTCCTTCTTTTTTATGTTTGTTACTCTCTTGTAACATTACTAATCTTCGGCACTTATATATGACCTCATTGTGTTGCAAGTGCCGTAAAACACTTACTAAAACAAACCAGTTTGTTACTGTATATTTTTTTGTTGTTGTTGCAGCTGGGCAGATGCCGAAGTGTTACAGAATTTGAAAAACTTAACCGAGTCGGTGAAGGAACGTATGGCATTGTGTGTGAGTATACTACTTCTTCATATGGGGTCAAGTAAATCCAGAAAATTCATGAAGTTGAATTCTAAAATACCCTCTTTCTTTGTTCTTAATGTCTAATTCAAATTATCTCAATTGTCAATTTTTGGACATGTGGAGTTATTGGTATCATTTTAAAGCTTGGTCATTTTTCTTGCTTTCAGTAAAAAAAATACTCATATATTATCATGAATAGAAGTCGAGATATTTGTGATTAAAAGAGGTGGGGGTCGCCTGATTTCAGCGGTAAAATTAGCAAGAAAATGGTGTGATTTGCTCCTTCTTTCCTATCAAACATCTGTCGTCCTGATCTCTCCTCCTTCTTTTTTACATTTATTACTCTCTTGTAACACCTCTCACGGCGCACGAAATCAGCCGAAATCGCGCCTTTTAGTTGTACCACGGCTCCTGCCGCCCTGCGGTGATTTATCACCTCGCCCGGTACCTGTTGACCTTTTTTATTGGGGTCATTTGACCCCGTCGCACCGTTATAGACTGGGGTGCGTTCTTGATAAAATCATTTCATTTACTGTCTAAATTACAGTGGTGCCGTAAGACCCACCAAGTAGTTTTAATTTATAGACTTTAGCAACACCATTTCTCAACCTTTAAAAGAAAGTCCCAGTCTTCTACGTGTTATACCAAGTGTTCTACACGTGTCTGTTTGCTGCCTGTGTAACACGCTTTTCTTATTTCAAACTGAGGATAAATAATCATTTATTACAACAAAACGGTACCTTGAATTTTTGGGGGGATTCGATTTGTGAGTTCATTAATAAATCATGTTTTGAGTGTATAAATTTCAGTACTACCGCAGTTGTGGTTGTTAAGCTACATCGGATTATTATGTTGGGCCCCCGAATTGACTAACGTTATTGCCGTATACAACTGAGACCTTAAAATGGAGCACACCCCTGAAAGTCAGTGAAAGTCATGTATCCGCTTTAAACTGTCTGTGTAGAGTGTGCGGAAGACTGAACATTACAGGGAAGCAGAGAAAATCCTTTAAAAAGCCGTATTTGTGTTCGGAAATAGCCAGTGACCTCTTCCTTGTGGTTGGGTTGAGTATCAAAGAGGACGCTAGTGATAAACACTCCAAATTTGTGTGTTTGAAATGCTATAAAACAATCCATGACACTAAACGTCGAAATAGTGCAGTGTCCCTACAAACACTAAGAAACACTTTTGACAGCAGTCAAAACATCTGGTGTGCTTACAATGAAAACTGTGATGCAAAAACATGCACAGTTTGTGAACAGAAAAGGCTGCTCTCTCTTGGCTGTGCAACAGTAAAGCCCCGTGACCCCCAGTCTCACTCCAGCAGCCATGAAAAATACACACACCAAGCTAGTCCTAGCACCAACATTTCTGAGACAGACACAACCACCCAGAGTACATGTACCCGTGTTCTCAGCACAGACTCAACACAACAAAACGACCCGCACACAAGTACAAGTCAGACTTTCCACCCCCACCCTCAGTCTGTTGTCCCAGTCAGTGACCAACATGTAGGTGTACAACATGCAGACACAATGGTTCAGGACAGTCACATCGTAGCTCACACCGACACAATCAGTCAGAGCACATCGGTCACAAATTCTCCCATACTGCATGATAGCAGTTGTAAGCACAGCGTAAGCACTGTCCGTGTTTCTCCATCGTCATCATTCACACCCACTAAAGGCCAAACATTTTCTGCGACTCCCTTGGCTTCTTCAACTCCGGCCCAGATACATGAAACAGTTAGGCCTACCCAAGACAGCACAACATCTCCCATGATCAAAGACATAGAAACCACCAGCCATGCAATGAGTAAGACAGAGACGCACCCACTCACTAAAAAAGAAGAACAATTAACAACAGGACTTATAAAGAGAATAAAACCTATAGCCTACGCCATGATTCGTATGGAGTTATTGTCTTCCAAGTGAGGGAAATATGTGGATATTTACGACAATATGATGCATAGATGAACCATTTTGAGGTCACACAAACTGCGGCAGCAGTGAAATTTGGTGAGTAGATACCCTTATGTGTTACGTTTGTGCCCCTTAAAGATGAACTAATCCTGACGCTCAGTTTTCTAATTATCGGCGTTCATTACATCATAACTAGAAACGATATGGGGAATCAGACATGACCATCTTGCACTGTCTGTTACAACTAAACAGACCAGTACTGATTCTCTCTGTTTTTGAAATATCATGAAAAAGACTTGGAACTGCTGATGCCCGCATGCAGTGATGTCTTTAAGTCAATATTATTGTGTTAATTAGGGCTCAATTCAGAATGAAAAATACGATTTTCTAAACCCCCAGCGCGGTCACGCTGACCGAAGAATGCCCACGCGATGACCCCGTTCACCGTCACAGGTCAGCGCGCCACTGGTTACCTGAGTTCTCAACTAAAGTATCCTGTTTCTGTGCGCCGTGCTCTAATCTTCGGCACTTTTATATGACCTTGTTGTGTTGCAAGTGCCGTAAAACTCTTACTAAAATGAAACTGAGCATTGTCAATGGGGGAAGAGGAACCTGGAAGAAGAAGGGTAAAAAGTAGCCCCTAATGAGGAGTTGCCTAAATTGGTTGGGTCATTGATCTAGATCCTGCCTCATCAGCAAGTTAAGGAAGATTGTTATTCTTTTTAAAAAATCTGGGCTGGAACTTTGTGACTTTAAAATCACATTTTGATAAACAATTTCAAGTTAAGGTGTGTTTCTATGAATTTTTTTCTGCTGGCATGATTGGATTTGAATTAATGATCATTTTGGGTTTTTTGATGAGTTTCACGTGTATTGCCCGAGGTGTTTACAAACCACGCTTTTTAAAAAGATTTTGAGCTCTTACAGTGATTCCCATTTCAATCTGGTTTTTGAACTAAATCTACTTCTTTGGCCTATCTTTTATTTTCATTCACAGATCGGGCAAGAGACATGGAGACGAACAGAATGGTAGCTTTGAAAAAGATGCGCCTGGAAACTCAGAAAAACGGTAGAGTGATCAGCTCAAGGAGAAAGCTCACAACTTATCCAAAGCATGAGATTGAACTGATAACCCTTGAACTGTCCCTTATCTGTATGCTGGTATTGGCATCAGAAGAAAAAGATGGTTGTGTTCGTTTTTTATGATAACTACTTTGGAATGAATACAGTTTTTCATGACTGATAATATTATTTTAGAGGGGTTTTTAAAAATATTTTTTTCATTAAGGATGTTCGTTTTGAAGTTTTAGCTGTTATGAACTTACTCCTTTCCAGGAATTCCTGTCACTGGGCTTCGTGAGATCAACATACTTTTGAATCTTCACCATGAAAACATTGTGGACATGATGGAAGTAGTTGTGGGAAAGAGCCTTGAAAGGTAATTTACTAGGATTTTTTACACTCTGGATTAATTTGTTTTAGTGAGAAGTAGATCAGTAGAAGATATATATGATAGTCATTCAAGAGGTAGGCTAGTGAAAATATCTCTTCAGCTGCTGCTTATGGTGGTTATAATGTATTCTTCTCGGGAAGCTGAGAATATTTCCGAGTGTTCTATAGTCTTCTGGGGTAGTAATATACTGTAAAGCGCATAGACCTTGCTTTTGAGTGGGGACATGCGCTATACAAATGCTATTTATTTATTATTATTATTTTTATTATTATAATAGTGGTGATAGTAGTTGCAGTAGTAGCTGTAATAGTGTCTGTAGGTTTTACTGTTAGTGAGAGAAGGGAAAAGAACGGAATTTTGGATTGGAACATTTCTCTCTCCTTAAAAAGGAATTGCATTTTCTTTCATGTAAATGATGTTGTCAGTTGTCCGCCAATACCAAACAGATTGAGCTACATGTTCAAGGTAAAAGACTGATTTTTTAATTTGATTGCAAGCGACATATTTACCAAGTGTAAAAGCTTGTTTTGATTCCACTCTGTTGAAAAGTCACCAGTACAAAGAAAAAATTAGATGAAAAAAAGTCACTGTTTTTTATCGTTGTGAAGAAATTGGATTTTCAATTATTAGAACAATGCATGTGTGAAATGCCTGAATAGTTACATAAATGTCTCATAATATTATAATCTTACACCACTGCAGACAAATCTGCAAATGCTCCATTTGCTGGTCACCACTAGAGTGCCCTTGTTCAAAGACATGCCTCAGTAACCACCCTCCTAATTGCAATGTCATCAACATTGCTTGCCAGTATAAATGGTCGCTTTTAAGGACAGGCGGGGGTATCCCGAAAAGTGCTTTTTTGAGAAAATCATAAGTTAAAGTGTTTCGATTCTTATTCAGTCTCTTTAAAAGACAAGGAGAGTTTTGTCTATAACTAAACAAATATACACACCAATGAAACCAAATTTCTCCTATCTATAGGTAAGGCAGTACCCACTTTTGGTGTATGTCAAGATTTCTGGAAACCCCCGAAGTCTAGGTTAGCCCGCTTGTCCTTAAAAGTGACCAAATAGGCTTTAGTTCATGCTCCACCTAGTGTCTGGAGTTGTGTGTGTGTGGGGTGGGGGGGGCACATAAAAAAGGTGCAGATAGTGAGAAGAGGCCACAAGGTGTGTGTGTGGGGGGGGGGGGAGCACATCAAAAAGGTGCTGATAGTGGGGAGGAGGCTTCCTGTCCCGTCTCTATAGGGGGGGGGGGGAGCCCCTTCCAACCTAAGTAAATGTACAAAGCAACGAACTCTATTTTCTCCATTTTTTGGGGGGGGGGGGGGGGCCGTGTGGTGCATGACATGATATCCGGAATTACCCGAAGTCTAGGTTAGCCGGCTTTTCGTTAGAGGGGGCCAAATAAACTTAAGGCTCCCCCACACCTAGGGTCTGCCGTTTGGTGTGTGGGGGGGGGGGGGGGCACATCAAAAAGGTGCAGATAGTGAGAGGAGGCCACAAGGTGTGTGGGGGGGGGGGAGCACATCAAAAAGGTGCATAAGTGAGAGATAGTGAGAGGAGGCCACAAGATGAGAAATGATCATTAGTTTAGTTACCCACAAGCATGATATGTAAGCAAGGTAGAATGGAGACAGAAGATTTTAGTGGGTGGTTGGCGGGTGCTCTAGTATGGTTTGCTTCTTCTTTCCTATCAAACATCTATCGTCCTTATATTTCCTCCTTCTTTTTTGTGTTTGTTACTCTCTTGTAACACCTCTAATCTTCAACACTTACATGACCTTATTGTGTTGCAACTTATGCAGTTGCGAGCACCGTAAAACCCAGTACTAAAAAAAAATGTTTTTAAAAATTGTGTTGCAAGTGCCGTAAAAGACATACTAAAACTTTTTTTTTAATGTTATCATGACCCTCTTTGAAGTACTAGCTAGACTTTTGACATGTTCTGTTCCTCAGTATTTTCCTTGTGATGGAGTATTGTGAACAAGACTTGGCCTCCCTTCTAGACAACATGGCAGCTCCCTTCTCAGAACCCCAGGTGAGCATTTTTACTCTTTTTGTGCTCCAAATTATGGCAACATTGTCAATGCTGTTAACGTATAATGCTGCTGGACTTGTGAAAGGCCTGAACAGAGTTATGGTGGGTCTTCACTCTAACTTTTAAGTCTGAATTTTTAAAAACAATTTTTTAGTAGTAGAGGTTTTTCGGCGCTGGCAACTACATAAGGTCATATGAGCGCCAAGGGGCGGATTTCAACAGAGAAATCCTCACAGGGAATCAGATTTACTCTGCTCACCTCTCAAGCTTCAACAGCTCAAAGTCTACTTCGGCTATCAAGGCACCCTGGAAATAGCGGGTCTCAAGAGTGTGACAAACGTACAAAAGAAGTAGAGGAAAGTGACGATAGTAAAGATTAGGGAAAAAAAAGCAGCAGTTCCCTGTTGCAATTCAAGCACAGTTATTAGTGTAACATCAATGAATCAGCCCATTTACAATTACAATTCTACTGTGCATAAGAACATTGACTTCTTCAGTCAGTAGCACAGCCCCGGGGAGTATAAGTCTGAATGACCTGTTCAAAGTGAGTACATGAAACTGAATTACGATTGTCTGGACAGGCTTCTGGGTTTAGCTGAGTCCGGCTCTCTTTCAATTCTTGAAGAAAAGTAGGTGTGTTAATTTTAACAATTGATTGTTACGTCAGTTTTGAAGATTTAGGTCATGTGGAATTAAATACTTTGAATGAAGAGGTAGGTGAAATAAAGTTTTTTTAACAGAATATATCGACTGATGGAGTGTTATTGTTATTGCCTCATTATTATTGAATGAAAGCCACTTTGAGTGGGGGGAAAAAGAATTAAACGCGCACAAGAAATACTGGAGAGACAGTTTTGAAATTGTTCAATTTTTAGTTATAGTGTCTTAGTAAGTTCTGATTTTTTAATATACATGTACATATACATTTACTTTTTTTTTTTTCGCTGTCCTTTCGTGTATAGTTTATTTTTGGTTGTGAAAGTTCTTTATGTGGTTAAACTGGTTTTTCTTGCTTCTGTGAAATATTTTTTCTTGTGTGAATGATAATGTGATTGGTGTAAAGCGCTCAGAGCTTATACCAGTATGGGATAGAGCGCTTTATAAATGCAATCTATTATTATATTATTATTGCAGTTGCGTAGACCTTTGTCATCTGGGTTTCAAATGCAATATTTTTGAAAGTTGAGCTTTTCTACTTGCTGTGTGGTAAAGCACTCCAATGTTGACGTATTTGCTTCACGTTGTTTTCAGGTGAAGTGCATCATGTTACAAGTGTGCTCTGGTCTGCAGTATTTACATGAGAATTTCATCATCCACAGGTGGGTGCACAGAATTCTTATAGTGAACATAGTTATGAAAAGAAAAAGAAAACGCTTTAATGGATGAGCAAATGTTGTAAAGATTCGTTTCAGAATAGAATGCATGCTACAACAACAATGCAGTACTTAAAAAAACGTTTCAAGCATTCATTAATTTACCATTTCTTGCTGCTGCTGTGTAGAAATTTTTTCAACAAAGGTCGACATGTTTTACTCAGGAGTGATCTGCAGTGACTGTTCTTCTAGAAACCTTGCCCAGTGACATTGCATTGCATTTTATGCCAATTTTCATTCCCCGGGTTACGAAGATCCTATTGTTTTGTTTCCTTGCTTTGAAACTTTGCAGCATGTAAACAGTAGATAAAGTTATGTATGAAAGTCCAAGGTGTTCGCATGAGGAACAATGAGCCTGGCCTACTACATCTTATTCTAAACCATCGGTTTTTTCTAACCGATTGAAAAGGATTTAGGGTCAAGTCCCGACTCCTCTCTCAAATATTCTTTGTCAATCAAAAGCCTTCAGCCACAATTTGAACCAGTGTAAGGGTGGAATGCGTTCCTCTTCTTTAACAAAAGTCTCCTAGTTTTTTACAAAATAAATCGCCTGTATGATTTTCTGTTGAAATAGTTATTTTAATGTAAGAGATCGAAGACACTGATTGTACAAACTTTTAATTTCTGTGAACTTTTTATTCCATTGATCTGTTTAATATTCAGTGCATTTCGTTTTGAGACATTTTTTTAAAACTAGTGTTTTCATTATTCATAATTTTCATAACGTTATTTTGTGTTTCATGTGCTCTGAAGAGATCTGAAAGTGTCCAATCTCCTCATGACAGATAAGGGCTGTGTCAAAATTGGTGAGTGGATATTTTATAAAATGCTGTAATGACAGCTGTTTAAGAAATGTAGAAGACATTTGTGACCCATCATGGTGAAATCAGGCGCTAGTCAAAATAATGAAATGGAAGAAAACGGCAAGAGTAATTGAGGACATGGACATTTAGGTGAATTCATGACTAGGCACAAGAGAATATGAGTTTGAAATCGTCATTTGATTCTTCCACTCCGCAAAAAAAAAAATTATTATCAATGTTTTACTGCAATTACAGCCCCATTCACACAGTTAGGTCAGTTGGGAGGTAGGCTACTTTGACTGTGCCTGTCAGGACCAACCTAAGCAAAATGAGGTTCAGCATTGCAACAGGCTGAAAGAAGTTGATGTGAAAAGTGCCCCTGTGCCCCACTATTATAAGAAATATTCAGTCCCTCAATTGTTGTGATCTACAAAGGGGTGCTTTTGAATTAGGATGGTTTGTTTGCCTTCCTTTGCTAGTATGGAGTGTTTTAAGGTGTACTTTTTTTCAAAACTATTTTCTTGTCTTTTCTTCAGCTGACTTTGGTCTGGCAAGAAAGTATGAACTACCCCTGCGCCCCATGACACCGACTGTGGTGACTCTGTGGTAATTCTTTTCATATTTTTAATCAATATATGTCGTGACCCAACTAATCGTACTTTCCTATGTGCTTAAATAAATTTTGGAAAAATTATCCTTTGTCCTTGAAGAGAGTGGTCTCAGTTTAAGACTTTTTCAGAGATCATTGTGGTTTTCTGTCTGTGTGTCTGTCTCAAAATTATGAATATCTAGCTCCGTCATATTCTTTAGAATAGTGAATGCTACCTTTGTTTATACTTTGAGAACTAAAAAATGTGTGGTTTCTTCTAAAAATCAATGTAAAAGTCAAGCCGCCAGAATGAAGTTGTCACGACACGCAATAAGCAAAAGATACTGTATCTCAAATACTAGTTAGCCAGATTTATTTTTTTTGAAAATTGAAATAAAATACAGTATGAAGGTTGTTCTCTTTGAAAATGAGATAGCCACAACCAATAATTCAAAATTCAACTATTTCAATATTTCTCTGGTAATATCACTCCTTCAATATATATGTCTTTAATAATTAACAGAAGAATGTTTAGTTAGCTGTTATGTACATGTATGAGCATTACTGAACGTGTTTAAGTTTTCATTGATCATTAACCAAACAATAATCTGAGAGGAGGATAATTAAAATTGGGGGGTTTCTGACTTTTTTTTGGGTGTGTTTTGCAGGTACCGAGCTCCAGAGCTTTTGTTTGGTTCTAAAACTCACACGACTGCTATTGACATCTGGTTGGTACCCGTTCTTTTGTTCAATGTAAAACAGTTTGTATTTTCCTATTGACAAGATTATTGTCCCGTTTCTACTCATGATTTTCTTTCTGATCATGAGTTGTTCAAACAGTGGTAGTGCATGTACAGCAGGAAGAATTCAGAAATTGGAATGCAGTTGCTAAGGGCTTCAAAGGTTACATTATTGGTTTTACTGTGTTTTTCTTTTCTCCCATTTCAAAATATCTTGTAAGTTAACTTAACCCCAGGTTGGAGGATATCAATAGTTTTGTGGTTGGGTCTTCCGAAAAATAGACCCCCGAAACCCCAGTGTTGGGACCTCCTTCGAGATATCCTGTGTCTATCAGGGCTTTACACGCAAACTAAATATTGTCAAGCATGGATAACTCAAACATGCTAGGGGTTAACAATTGCGTTTGACACATCCATAATTGGGGTCAACCGTGTAACAAAATATTAAAGGTTTGGGAATGGCAAATTGTACGAGCTATCCGTGATTACGAGTTTCCTGTGTTTGTGTTGTCTGTGCCTGACCATAGTTAAAACTCAAACCATGAAGTCGATATGTCTCAAAATGTACATTTTTATGCGACGGACAATAACAGGCTCCTTTGAGTGTTTCTCTATCACACCATCTCTGCTTTCATTACCCTGCGAAAAGAGAAACAACTGATAACTTTTCGATTGGTGTGGCAGACTTCTAGTAAGTGACTATGGCACTGTGTGCTTCTTTTCTGTGCCTTCCCTTTCTTTCATTTTTTTGGTGGAAAATGAGGACAGATGGTTAGAGAATGTCACTGGTGGGTTCTACTTCTTTATCCTCCCTCTGATGTTCCTACCTGGCTGCCTGTCTTTTTTCCACAAGTACTGAGTAAACGTTATTGTATCAAATGTGTTTCTCATAACTCAAGCCAAGGGAAGCAGCATGATGAGCAATTAAAAATAAATGTTGTCTTTTCACTACAGTCTGTTGATGTATGATGGTACAGATAGCTGTTCTTTTCCCTCATTTTAATACACAAATGTATAAGTATATGACTGACAGGTGGCACTTATATGACCTAATTGTTTTGCAAGGGACGTAAAACTCTTCCTGAAGCAACTGTCAAAATATTGCAGTGCAATTACTTTTCCAAGCTATTGAAAATGTGAATGGCTCTGACAAAATTTTAAGTTTAGATAAATGTCTGTTCAGAATCTTTTTGACATTTACTTTTGATATTGAACTAAGGGGGTGGTTTAGGGATGCCACTGGTAGGTCTTACTTTTTTTCTTTCACTCTGTTGTTACTGTGTGCTGTATTATTTTTTCCCTGTAGTTATTGTGTTAATTTGCTTCTCTGTAATCAAACTCAAACTCAACTGAACACATCCATTATTGAATTAGAAGTAGCTTAGAGTCTTGTACTAAGTCAGAAGTACTTAAGTGTCTTTTCTATTATGGTAAATCCAGTATAATGTGCAAGTGTGCTCACTTGCTCTCTTCATTTCTTAATTCTGAACTAGGTCAGCTGGTTGCATCCTTGGAGAACTGTTAGCTCATCGACCACTTTTGCCAGGGCGCTCTGAACTCCACCAGATTGACCTCATTCTGGATCTCCTTGGCACCCCCAATGATGCAATATGGCCAGTAAGTAGATTGACATGGGTTCAACTCTTTAAACCCTGAGGTTTTCTCATCATTTCCCGGAGTTTTTTCTACAGTCACCTAAACCTGGTGCACTATGTCCAAAAGCTTGCCTCCTACTTTTAAATTGTGTAAACAAAGGCTTAGTGATTACTAAAAAAAACTTGGATCGGGAATAGTTCTGAAAAACGAGCAAAAACTAGCACTAAATGAAACGAAACAGTTGTTACTAGTATCGTCTGATAAGGAACAGGGTTATTACCGCCGGACACTCCCAGCATCCGATGGGGTTTAAAGAGTTAAGTGATATGTTTGCTGACCAAGCTTATTGCATAGTGCAATATAATTTACCACATGTCATCGTTTATAAGATGCACGGGTGGATAAGAGGCAGGAAGTCTTAGAGCCAAAATTTTAGTATAGTATTAGTATAAATCATATGTTCATGGGTTAAGATACACCAACAGTCTCATGAAAAGCTTAATTTTGTTCCATCAGCTAATCCCACAAGAACAACAGTGCACTGTTGCTTCTCATGGCCAGCAGTCTTTGTACTAATCGTTTTGTTGCCTGTGCTTTCTACAGTGGAAAGGCTTGGCATGTCAAAACCCATCAGCATTTTGTCCATGTTTCCTATTGAGGCAAGATCATATCGAAACAATTGGATGTAGATTACAAAAATCTAAGTTTTAAAAAAAGATCATATTGAGTAATGTAATTGTCGGGGAAAGCATTTGCTATCGTTGTGAAATGAAAACTTCGTAAAAGTTGTACTGGCGGCATTTACTATTTGTTTGCAGACGATTGAAAAATGCCGTAGGCCTACTGCTTTTGTTTGAAGTTTCACTTGATTATATTACTATGCTTTTCAAATATAACTGGAAAAATAGGAAACAAAGATCTTAAATAAAGTGCAGACAATTATGAACCTTCAAACATAACTCAGCACAGAAAGCTGGAAAATATCAAAATCAACAACAGTTTGACATACAGTATGTAGTGCATGCTGAAGATACTGAAGAAAAGAAGAAAGACAGTTGGTACAAATATGTTAGACTTCTTCAGTCCGTTTTCAAATCAACCAAAATAAACTTGAAATTAGTTTGAGGTCAACAAGACTAATAGAAGAAAATAATAAATGACTTTTTTTGTCTTGAAAAAACAAATCATCAGTTTTCCCTCATACTGTTAATCCATTGGAATTTTTAGATCTAGTTTTGGTGAATGGTGATTTTTTTCTGACTAAAGAAAATATGAACGTGAAAATGGGAGAGACTTATATTGCGTGGGTCATCCTCAGCTTACACATGAATTTTGTTCCATTTCCTTCTCATTATCATTTTCAAATAGCAAAAGTATGATATTTTATGCAATTTTACTCTTAGGGTGACCTCTAGGTGAAGCTATCATAAAGCACTGACATAGAACAGAATTTGAATCACTTTCACAACTGACTTCAAACCAGCACGATATACTTCATGTGTCCAATTTATAAAATGTTAAAGATAGAAATAATTTTGATTATCCTTTTTTCTCTATTAGATATTGACGCTGGTACTGCTCTGCCTTTGAGCTCGTTCTCGTAGAAAGATTTAACTAGGCCACCCATCTATGTGGTAAAAAATTGGTGATTAGGTTGGGGGGGTTTTTGTAGAGGTTTTACGACGCTCGCAACTGCATAAGATCATATGAGCGCCAGAAGATTAGAGGTGTTACAAGGGAGTAACAAACATAAAAAAGAATGAGGAAGATAAAGACGATAGATGTTTGATAGGAAAGAAGAAGCAAACGACACCAGAGAACCCGCCAACCACCCACATGACTGGGTTTGGGGTGGGTGGTACCCTGTAAGGGAAAAGTAGGCTACGTACAGGGCTTTGGGGAACAAAAGCTCAGGAGAGACTGCACAGTGAGCTCATCAGAGTGGAGTCTGTTCTGTGACTTCTGTGACTATTCACATAATTAAATTCACCACAAATGAATACATGGTACCTTTGTCTCTCTTACCACTGAACAGACCTCTTTTTCTGGCACTCATATGACCTTATGCAGTTGCGAGCACCGTAAAACCTCTACTAAAACTAAAACTAAGACTTCTTTTTCACATTGTCATTGACTGTTTTTATGCCGCTTTGTATTTTCACAGGGGTTCTCGGAACTGCCAGCTCTTCAAAATTTTTCTTTGAAAAAGCAACCGTAAGTTTTCGTTAATTTTATCATAAAGCTTTTTCTGAAGTAGGTGCTATTACGATATTCTTCTATTTGGCATGAGCTGGGGTGAGACAAGGCCAAAAGTACCCCTGAACTAGAGTTCACTTTTATTTTAGCTAGACTGTTTAGGTTTTTTCTAGATAGTCCTTGTCTCTCAACTCCTTCCATGGCTGACCATCCGTATGTTTGATGAGGAGATTTTGTCTCTGAATCTGTCAGTTTCCTAGCTCACAAAATCCACTGCTATGTCCACTGTTTTATATAAATGTGATCTCATAGTTTGCAAGGGGTGTCACTTTCTTTATTGAAAGGTTGGTTATTGCTGAGATATCAACGTGACAAAATGTTGATTTTTCAACAGAAGAGGAAGTCGGTGCACTGTGCTGCGGGAGGCCAACTAAAGAGAATTTTGAAGTGCATCTTAACAGCAGCTGAGGGGTTAAAGACAATTCAACAGTTAAAAGTAAAAAAAGAGCAAACTTTTCCTGAAAAAAATCTGAATTAATCGGTATAATGCTGAAAAAGTCTATGTGGATAGAAATAATGTAAAAAATCTCTGAATACAGCACATGACTGCCTGGAAGGGTGTGTGTGTGTGTGTGTGTGTGTGTATGTATGTATGTATGTATGTATGTTTGCCATTGTAAAACAAATTGCCCTTCTGGGATCAATAAAAGTGTTATCTATTATTATTATTATTGATACATGATGTATGCTCTCTACAGCTACAACAACCTTCGGGACACATTTCCTTGGCTGACCGAAGCAGGCATCCGTCTCCTCAACGTCATGTTCATGTATGATCCCAGTAAAAGGTTAGACCTTTACATTCTTTTACTCAATGTTTCTTGTTTCGAGTTTTTGTTATTGTCAGAATCTAATCAGTATCCATAACATAGACACTTCTGAGCTCATGGCTTTTGAAAACTGTTAGAAAACACAAGAGGGGTATTGTTATGAATATCTGTCTTATATCAATCTGTTTTGAACTTGTATGTAGTGAGCCTAATATTAAAGGAAATGCTGTCCAGCATGTTTATCTCGACTAATGCGACTTCTACCTTCACAGACATTGGTCTGCCTTCATGTTTGGGATGATTTCAAGGAAAAGGAAACTACAATTTAAATTAGTTTAAGAAATTGACTTTGAGCATTATACTACAGCTAAAATGTCAATGAACTTGACATTGCAACCTGATGTATTTAAGAACAGTTAGTAGCTAGCATCTATCCCTTTTTGTGTTTTTCTTTTTTTTAAATTCCATGCTAATGGGTGATTGGCGGGTGCTCTGATGTGGTTTGCTTCTTCTTTCCTATCAAACATCTATCGTCCTTATCATGCAGTTGCGAGCGCCGTAAAACCTCTACTAAAACAAGACATTGGTCCGCCTACATGTTTAGGATGATTTCAAGGAAAGGGAAACTACAATTTAAATTCGTTTAAGAAATTGAATTTGAGCATTAAACTACAGCTAAAATGTCAACTTGACATTGCAGCCGGATGTATTTAAGAACAGTTAGTAGCAAGCATCTATCCTTTTTGTGTTTTTCTTTTTTTTAATTCCATGCTGTATATGAAATGCTATCAAAGTAATTTCTATTTTTAAACCTTATTATCATGGGATTTTTATTCTTAGGGCAAGTGCTGAGGACTGTGCCGAGAGTTCATATTTCAAGGAACAACCTCGACGTAAGTTCTTGAGCAACATCTCCTCAGACGGACACACCTCAGACTGGACAGAGGGTGTCTTATGTCTTTAAACTGTCCCCGTGGTTTTATGCACCCTGCATAATTTAGCAAATTTTGATCATTTTTGGCATAATTTCTTATTATTTTCCTTTATCATTATTTGTTAAAATTAACAGAATCGCATAATTTCACATTTTTGGGCTCAGTTTTCATAATTTCTTAATTTTTCTCGCTCAAAACGACGGGGACAGTTGAAAAATGCAAGGACCTATTTAACCTGTTGTCTTCAAGTGGCTTGTGGTGTCGGCTGGTGAACTGATCCTGTTTTGCAGAATGGCTGGTGATGAAAATGAAATAATTAACTTCTTTTGTTTTTTATGTGTAATTTTAATGATCTACATTCAATTTTGAATGTGCATCACTTTTAATTGTAAAAAAGATAATTATTCGCATTGTTATAAAAACCATCTGTATGCCATTAGCTAAGCTTCCAATTCTTTACCATACAACCACAAGCTGGAAAAGTGCCCAATAGAAATAAGGCTCCTTTCATTCAAACTGTTGAGAAACGATTTGAATAGACTCCCCTACCATACAATTTATCATGATCTGTGAATACATTAAACTTACTGGGTCATTTTTCAATTTGGAAAAAAAACTATCACGTTTTTAACGACCAGTGACACTGGCAACTCAGGGAAAAACAGGACTGGCTTACTGGCCAGTGCCATCAGCCACTAGGATACTTACTTACTTACTACCCTTTACGCCATCTGGCGTTTAGGGCAGCAACAAAGGATCTCCAACTCTGTCTGTTTTGGGCCATCTTGGTCAACGTCCCCCACGAATGGTTCCAGGACTTCATTTCAGACTCTACTCCGCGTCTCCAGGTCACTAGGTTACAGGGGGTTAAATATCAGCCATGATGTGTATTCATGCGTCTCTCCTGACATGCTGAATACACTGCTAGAAATTTTGAGTAACTCCGGGGCTAATTTTTGGGATCAATTCTTTGGACTTTCTGTTCAGCATTTAGTTTCAACAGTTATATTTTTTTGTGGGTTGTTTTCGTACATTCTGTCTTTCAAAAAACTCTAAAGGAAAACATTACAGTTTGAATAGGTCGTTTAATTTTATTTTAAACACCCTGTTTTTTATGCTCAAATACACATTATTTCATTATTTAGAAGTTGTAAATTTTTGCATTTTCTCAATTTTTGTTGCAAATTGTTTGACTTATTACTTCTGGAACGGGGTTTTCTTGTATTGACAAATTTGATGACCCCTTGAATTTGTTGAATTTTTGTTTTGTTTAAAAGCTTGTTGAAATCAGAGCAAAAAGGGTCAAGTTATTGCCCTTCAAATGAGTCCTATTTTGATTTTGACACTCTTTTGAAATGAATGCACCATGTTCCATTCATTCTTAAAAAGGGAAGGGATACGCCTACATCATTTGTTTTGTGCTCTCATTTTTTACTGACAGAAAGGCAGCTCCTTTGAGGGTTCAAATCCAAACCAAACCAGTTCCTTCCTTCTCCTTTGTTTTATTATTAGTGTTGGGATCCTCTCCTTTGTTGTTCAAAATCCTTCACACCAAGTCTAAAAGTGCTTCTGCTAAAATACACTTCTTAGTCAATAGTTCAAAGTTAGTTATTTATCCCATTATTAAGAACATTTTTGACCATCTGGTGTAGTTTGTAACTTGTATAAAATCTGACCAATTTGTGTTCTTGGTATCTTAAAGTCTGTTTCAGTAAGACTTTTATAATGTAAGATGATTTTCATTTATTTTGTCTGTGGAAAAAACAGCTGTTTTATTGATGCCCTTTTTTGTCTCACCTCCCCCCCCCCCCCCCCTCCCAACCCCCACCCCAGCGTGTGACCCTGAGTTTATGCCCTCCTTCCCCCAACATCGTTTGAAAAGGAAACAAGCCAAAGTGGCCGAGAAAAGTGACAAAAGGTGCGTGCACTGCATGGTTTGTGGAAATTGTGACCAATTAGAATAAGCCTGAACACATTTTATTTTTGGCTTTTTACGATTTCTTAATAGTCTTCTAATTACTTGGAGGCCTAGATGAAGCATTGTAAAGAAAAATGTTTCTTCTTTAAGTCTCTTTTCCAATGCCAGGGCATAAGACTAGTAGGTCTTCATAAAGGAAAATAAGAATGGGGGGCTGGTGGATATGCTTGCACCAAATGTCTTTCTGGTCTCTTATTTCTCTACTGCAAGATCTAAAATTTCTGTTTTAACATATTGGACTTTGCATAAAATGAGGTCAGTTACAGTTAAGATGTTTTGTTCTTTGGTACGTTATCTGATGTTATAACGTTAGGTGTGGGTGGTTGGCAGGTGCTCTGGTGTGGTTTGCTTCTTCTTTCTTATCAAACATCTATTGTCTTTATCTCCCCTCCTTCTTTTTTGTGTTTGTTACTCTTTAGTAACACCTCTAATCTTTCCTCACTTATATTATGACCTTATTGTGTTGCAAGTGCCGTAAAACACTTACTAAAACAAACTGCCTCAGATTTCATGTATATATTTGGATACCCTTGTAAGATAAAGTAATATCTTGTGGTGTCTCTCAATCCACTTCCCTGACCGTAAGGGGTCACTTGTTGGGTTTTGGAAAAGTTGACAAGCCTGACAATGCTTCTGTCTGTCTGTCTTACTTGCCTTGAATGGGTTATGTATTGGTCACTGTCTTCCTGAATATCCCGCCCTGCCTCAGATGTGGGTGGTTGGCGGGTGCTCTGGTGTGGTTTGCTTCTTCTTTCCTATCAAACATCTATTGTCCTTATCTCCCCTCCTTCTTTTTTATGTTTGTTTCTCTCTAGTAACACCTCTGATCTTCTGGCGCTCATATGACCTTATGCAGTTGTGAGCGCCATAAAACCTCTACTAAAACAAACTGCCTCAGATTTCATGTATATATTTGGATACCCTTGTAAGATAAAGTAATATCTTGTGGTGTAGATCAATCCACTTCCCTGACCCATCCTCTTATAAGATGTCTTGAAGATTCTGGTAGCATCTATCACAGGCCACTTCACTCTTTCTACAGTTTAAATTTAGGATTTATGGAAGCATGGCCATGATGTTTCTACCTCACCCCCCCCCCCCCCCCCCCCCACCCCTCATGGCATTAATTAATGATAAACATCCTTTCCTTCACTGTAAGGGTCTGTTTCTGATAGAACCAAGCCAAGTAGGTATGCTTCTTCTTCAAAAGTCCCCATTGGGGATTTTAACCAGGGTCATCCATACCTTAGCCGAGCATGATGCCAACTGAGCTGACAGAACACCCCTGCTACTGCTAGGCTGTGAAGAAGACAAGTGGTTGAGTTAGGATGGAAAAAAGCAAAGTTTGCAGATGACTGACTCTTTCTTTCTTTAATTAATTTTTTTAACAGGAAATCCCTTGATGATCCCTTTAAGTCGTTTGGAGATGCTGTGCCTGGCCAACCATTGTAAGTTTACTAAGTTAAGAGTTATTTTCTAAGAATAAGAACTTTATTTTCAGCCCAAATATGGTACTTTTTTTTCTTTTAACCCTATTAGTGGCAAGTGCTGATGTGATGAGCATTTATTTTGCCACCAGGACTTTTACTGCTTGTAGCTGCTCTATAAGAACTGTTTTTGAGCCAGAGGAACACAAAAGATGCTCCGTTATTTAACTTAGAACTGCCGCCGGCCGCGACTCTGCAAGTCAGTGAAAATGGCTTCGTCGAATTCTGTGGCAGTTTCCGTGATTTCGGACAGATTTTAAGGGAGAAATATCGAAATGGTAAATTTTTTTCAGCCTGTGTTATAGCCTTATCAAAGAGCTTTCCAAATATATATATAGTTTTCTGGTCTTTGTATCTATCATACGTACTCATTTCTTACATCTAAAGTTTTGACTTGCATTATGTATATACTAGACACAGACCCGTTCTACGAACGGTGATATAGTGATAGGAAAGCCCTGAACAGAGTGGACAATTTCAACATTTATGTGCACTGGATATCTAAGAGACAGTGTTGGGTTGTACGGAACAATGAAAGAGTTGTCTACATGAACCTCCGAACCACGAACTTTCACTGCCAAACCGCACTTCTGTTCATGCGAACTACTCACACGCACAAAAAAGCACAATATGAAACGGAAGTAGTCCCCAGTAAAATATGAAATGGCTAATGGCAGAGTGAAAACATCTGAGAGCTTCGATTTACAGGAAAAACCATCAAATCTGAAGACTGAAAAAGTAGTTTCCGAACTTTGAAAATATGACCACGTAACCCTTTGGGACAATTCTTGTCTGAATCATATTTTTGTAGATTTTATGGGCACCTGTATTAAAAGGTTATACCGACCCCACAAACGGGCTTAGCTCCATTATACAGTGGAATCCTGTTATAACGAGAGGGTGGGGACCGGAGCAAAATGTCCGTTATAGCAGGATTCTCGCTATAAGGGATCCAGTAATACATTCAAGGGAAACTGTGAAGTAGACCTAATCTATGAGTTTGGTGTTCTGTTTATTTCCTTTTGCTATCTCCCCTGACGATGATTTTGTTTCAACATGACCTCTGGGTCTTACTAGGCGTCGGTGGCCTAGTGGTTAGGCTCTCGGACTCGCAAACGTAAGGTCGCGGGTTCGAATCCCGTCAGGGGCCCGACGTTGTGTCCTTGGGAAAGGCACTTTCCACAAATTTTCCTCACTTCACCCAGGTGGAAATGGATACCCTTCTATAGACAGTGAACGATCTTGTCAGTTTGATAGTGTTTGAGCGCGTGAAATCCGCAGCTTGCACTGTATGCTTCAGCGGAAGCCGAGAATGTTTCTGAGGGTTCTTAGTTCTCAGATGGTCTGCTGGGGTAATGATAGTTGTAAAGCGCATAGAGCATGCTCTTGAGCATGGATATGCGCTATATAAATGCAATTATTATTACTTGATCAAAAATCGAATCAGGTTTCTTTCTCTAGCGCTAGATCTAGCGATGTGGACTGACAGCTCGGCGTTGGCGGTCAGAAAGAAAGGGCTCTAGGCTAACTCACCCGCTGTGTTTTCCCCCACCCCACCCCACCCTGTGGTGCATTCTGTCTGCTTGCGCACATCACACATTCGCTCCATCCATCACATTGCTGTGACCTCTCCATCCCCGCATCGGAGAAGTGAGAGGCATGGCAGGCCTTGATAATCTAAAGTAGGCTTACGCTGGCCTATCACGCATTGCATTCTGCTTGTGTGCGCATGCCAAAACCTCCCAACTCGGTCGCTCCGGCCTTCATTGTTAACGCACATGGGCTCTCCCATTCTTAGTTTCGCAAGATCATCAACAAGTTTCTCAACGGGCGAGGTTTTGCATTATATTATGTATAATTGGACTAAGCACTGTGAACAGCAACAGCAATATTCCGCTATAACCGACTCGCATGTTTGTCTGATAGCGCTATAGCAGTATTTTATTTACAAAGGTAAAGAGGAGAAAAAAACGGGGTTTTAGAATAGTGTCTTTATAACAGACTTCTCGTTTTTTCCGAACTCGTTATAAGTGGACTCCACTGTAATACATTGCTTTTGTCACTTATGTACTATCTGATTGTTCCTAAGATTTTCCCTTGACAAGTGCAAGTTTACCACTGACAATAAAAGGTCTGCGCATTGGAGATATTTTCAATGTTCTTCTTAGATTTACAGAAAATAAAATGAACCCATTTAGGCCTACTGAAGACAACAAGGCATACTGCACTGTGCTTTGTATGTATAGTATAAGGTTTTACGGCGCTCGCAACTGCTAAGGTCATATGAGCGCGCTCACTGTGCTTTGCGCTAATCAAGAGATGTGAGAAAGCCCAATGCCAGTGACATCATGAAGGAAACACACCACTTGCGGTCACATGCTCATGTGCAGGGGCTATGTGAACTAACTTCACTAAGACAATAAGCCATGACTAACCAAAGGTCATGCGACACAAACATTCGCTATCTTTGCTTCATTAGGCCTGTACACAGTATAAGGCATATCGATGTTTGTGATAAACATAGGTAAATAGTACACTGGTAATGCCTCTCTTACCTGCAGTCAACGTATGTGAGTCCTCATGTCTCTTTCTTCGGTTTTGCTATCTTGAAATGCATATTATATAATATATTTTTGTCACGACATGGTGGAATCATGCTCTCGTCAATTTTGGGGCATGTAGAGTTATTGGTTTTATCTGAAAGCTCATTTATTTGCTTTACTTTCAATGAAAAAAATATCCATCTTAATTAGAAGTCAAGATGTTTGCAATTGAAAGGGGTGAAGTTGCTTGGTTTCAATGATGAAATTTGCAAGAGAATGGCCGCCTGATCTCGCCAATTGGCAATGTTTACCCCCCAGTTTTTTTGGATTTTCCCCAAAATATGATGGCAAAGTGTTAAACGCAGAATAATCAGTAGTGTATTAAAAATTGCTGGCCAACTCATTTGGTCATTCATGCACTTACTCCTCCGCCTTTTCATTTTCTTTTCCTCTTTGTTTGATTACAGAGAACAGATAATACGTTAGTTAATTATAATGAAAATGTTTGAAGAATGGGAGAGAGGAAAAAATGAATATGAGTACCGTGACATAAAGATTTTGCTCATTGTAATTTGTAATGGCAATACTTCTTTGCAATATAAGTATGTAGAAAGTTTCTGACCAAAATCATTGCTCTTTTCTTTTTCTCAGGTTAAAACGAGGAAAGTTGGATTCCAGCTAGAGCTTGATTTTTTCATTTTGTTTGTATAAAGTGTATATTTATGATTTCTATGTCGTCATGGTGAGTTGAAGTTAAAATGTGCTTTTTCATGTTCTCTTTGTTGATTGGAAGAACTTGGAAAATGTGAGAAAGAATAAATTGGATACATGGAATATACTTGTACTACGTTGTTGTTTTTGTTACATTATTTTTTAATCTTTGTTAGTTTGGTGCTGTAAAAAATTTGTTTGTTGATGAAATGTATGAAGTCCTTGAATACCGCCCACAAACTTGTACAGTGGAACTCAGTTTCAACAAACTCGGATTTAACTAAAGGAGTTGGATTCCCTGCTTTTTTTTACTCTTAAAAATCAATGAAAATAACTTGGATTCAACGAGCACATAAATGAGAAAGCTTGGATGCAACGAAGTCGCTTGCAGGCTGAACCAATCAGCGGCCTCCTTTCATAGAAACACACACGTTTATCACGCACCCATGTCTTAGCATGTGTCAGGGTCGGATATGCGGCCAGCACACGTGTGACTGTGTGTGCGTGTGTCTGAGGGGAGGCGATAAAAAGGGGCCAGGTATGAAATGTTAATATACAAATGTGACACCATGACTTTTTTTTCCGCAGCTACTGTTCAATATTATTACAAATATAAGCTAATCTTGAAATGGATCTACAGAATGAATTGCGTGCTGGACTGTGGAATTAAACACTGTATGCTATTGCTAGGCTCTACATAGCACAGGGATGCCACTCATCTTTTTTTTAAAATAGCTGAAAATCCACACGCCATGGTCTCGCTAACATAATATGAATGTTTTCCCGACTTGCTGAGATTTACCTAAATCTTCCGGGTTTTTTTCTCCCCGTTATTTGAACTTATGGCAAAGTCTTCGTTTTTCCATTATTTGAACATTTGGCGCAAGTTGTGTGTGTGTGTGTTTGTTTGTTTTTTTCCCAAGTATAGATTCTATCTCGATCTCAATATAACGGAATAGTGGATCAGGATCAAAATACCGGAATTGCTGAAAAAAAGCGGAAAAGTGGCATCTCTGATAGCAACATAACTTGTTTGGCAAATACATCATATAGATGATAGATGACACTAACATACATTTGAACAAAGCGGCCTTTTTGCACAGTGTTTGCTTGGTAGAGTTCACTGTATTTTCCTAGAATTTTCCAGCAATTCTTTGGTATCAAAGAAACAAAACTGCCTCTCGTTTGAATTTGAAACCCAACTACATGCACTTTTGATCAAGAAAGTTGAATACATTATACATTACTCACTTGCTCAGTGCTAGTAAATATCTGCATAAAAACCTCATATTTGCTGTAACAAACACTGCAATTCAATGAAACTGAAGACCAGGCCTGACGACTTTGTTGAATCCGAGTTCCAGTGTACTATAAAGTAACCTAGTCTGTTCACTACAATGGCCACCCTTCTTGGCTTTCAAAAGTCCTTCACCGCAGCACATTACCAGTGAGTGAAGGCCAACAACATTACATGCTATTGTTAACCCTATCTGTACGTCGTGTTTAACTATCGTATCCATACGACGTGGGGAACTCTGTGCCACCACTTTCCAATGAGGAAATTTACTCGTTAATCCGATCCGTACGCTTGACATAGCAGTCTGTCAATATGATTATTTGAGAAATACTGAAAGTTTCAAAGAGATTTTCTACTAGAAGTATTCTAAAGTGAGAAGAATACTACCCGGGGGTACAAAACAACCCCAGGGCATACGGATAGCGTTAAGGTCGGAAAGCTATTGGTTTGATGTCTTTGTTGACACCTTTTGTAAACTCTTTATCTCTGAGTTACTGTGACGGTATAGATCCAGGAGTAGTATTTTTAGTATTAGTAGAGGTTTTACAGCGCTCGCAACTGCATAAGGTCATATGAGCGCCAGAAGATTAGAGGCATTACAAGAGAGTAACAAACGCAAAAAAGAAGGAGGGTAGATAAAGACAATAGAATTTGATAGGAAAGAAGAAGCAAACCACACCAGAGCGCCCGCCAACCACCCACATCCAGGAGTAGGAGTAGGAAAAAAAAAATGATTGTCGTCATGAAAAGAACCCGGTATATATTTATAAAAGGATAGGAATTGATAATGTATGAGCCGTGTTGTTCGGTGCTGAAGCAAGAGAAAGAAAGTAATGCAGTTGAGCCTTACACTTACAATAAAAACAATTTTTTAAATGGCTCTTATGTCAGATGGTCATGGCGACGTGACTAACACTGGCCAGAGCTTGCCACCCACCCCACTTGTGTTATCATTTCCTGATCCATGCCTTCATGTTCAAACAACCACATACATACACACACGTGCACACAAACACAAGTATGTACAGTATAGCACGGATAAGCTGAACACAGAAAGAAGATTCGAAATCACCCATCCGTCGAACTGTGCCCGCAGTCCTGTTTTATATTATATTCTTCTTTATGTTATTCGAACCATCAATCAAGGCCGGTTCCGACAAATTCGAGCCGTCCTGGTTATTCTATAATTCACACACCATACATCCCTATCCAGCACCACACCACACTCTCTGTCTTGGACCACACCCACCACCCACTGTCACAGGACAGGATTCAAGGAAGTTCTAGTGCCTAACACACACTACACAGGTAAGTAATAATGTGCCATGATGTGTCTCGATACCAGCAGAGTGTGTGAAGTAAATCACGCTGTTGGGGGGGAGCCTAGTGGGCGCATGCTACCTGACACTCTTAATCATGGTGGGTGTGTAGTTTTCCATCATGGTCCATTTAAATTTGAGACAATTGTGAGTGAGAAAAAATTTGATAAGAATATTTGAGATGAGCTGCTTGTTGGCACATTGGTGTGGGTGATCCAGAAAACAAGTGTTGCTAATACAAACTTTTACATAGAAAATAATATGCAGTGGAACTCGGATTCAACAAGGTCGCCGGGCCTGACCTAAAATCTCGTTGAATCCGAGTGTTCGTTATAGCAAACATGAGATTTTGTGTAGATAATTACAGGCACTGAGCAAGTAATGTGTAAAGAGAAGTAACATATAGTGCCCGAAATGCCTGCATACTATGAGCTGTGTAAAAAAAGACTGATTCATTCAAATGCACGCCTGTGTCATCTCGATGGTTTACCAAAAAGTTGTGTTGCTGTGTAGAGCCTAGCATATGGCAACTTTTGATTCCATAGATCAGCACACAATTCATTACGTAGATCTACGTCAAGACTAGCTTATCATTGTATTTAATGATCAGTTGCCGAGGGGGAAAAATGACTGACGCCTTTGTATCTGCGGCGTTCAATGCCTGGACCGCTGGTCCCCCCCCCCACCCCGACACGCACTCACAGTCACACGTGTGCAGGCCACCCATCCGACCCTGACACATGCTAGAGTAGACACATGCGTGTGCCAACAACGCATGTGTTGGAGTGAAAGAAGGCCGCTAATTGGTCGCATGCAATCGGCTAAATGAAAAATAGTACACAATGCAGGTGGAATGGATGGTTTCCGGGAATAGATAAAGTTCGCTCCGGAAGCGACCTCGTTGAATCCGAGCTTGTTGATTTAAGTGCTCGTTGAATCCGGGTTATTTTTATTGATTTTAAAGAAGAAGAAAAAAGGGGAATCTATCTCTCGTTAATCCAAGCTCGTTGAATCCGAGTTCCACTGTAGCAGTTCAGTTGAGGAAAGGCATATTGTTTGAGTTCGAGCTATCCATGAAATAGAGCTTCGTATGTTCGATTATGTGTGCAACTGTTAAGTCTCCCTAATCTGTGATGGTGCTGAGCCATACACCTACTACTGCCCGCTTCTTGGCATTTAAAATATTAATATTAAAAGATATACAAGAAGCCTACTTTGTTTTGCACCGCCAAATGTCCAGAACTGCAGTGTCTCCATGTGCCCACTCTCTTTACTCTATGTACTATGTGTACTATACTGAAGTAGGAACCTTAAATGAAAGTTTTGGAGGTACTACAGGACAGGTAGGCTATGACCTCAGCCTCAGACATGCATTTGCAACTACAAAGCTTTGGATGCCTTGAAAGAGAGAAGGATCCTGTTATATATATATATCACTTGTGAGTGACACACAAATATCGTCTAAATAAAATCACAAAATTAAAATGTGTGAAATCTTATTCAATAAAGTCAACTGAAATATTTTTTTCTTCAAGTGCATACTCCAATCTTCGACCTTGTTGGGACAATATCCACTGATTGTGCTGTCCCCGTGGTTTTATGCACCCCACATATTTTAGCAAAATTTGATCCTTTTTTGCATAATTTCTGATTATTTTCCTTTATCATTCTTTGATAAAATGAACAGAATCGCATAATTTCACATTTTTGGGCTGTTTGCATAATTTCAGAATTTTTCTTGCATAAAACAACGGAGACAGATTGAGTGATTTTTTGGTCCCGATCAACATAATTTAGATCAACATGGAGGAGCCATAACAGTCAAAGGTCACTATTTCGCTCAAAACCAGCTAATTAGAGGCACAGAAAATCTCGCACAATCAAGCGATTTCTGCATGAGCATACAAATACAGCAGAGCATAGCTATAGCGGGACTTTTAGTCCCCCCAAAAAAACCCTCTGTAGGCAAGTTCCCGCAATAGGAATGCAAAGGTGAATTTCCAAAAACACACACGTCACGCTCTCCTCTTCTTTTAATGTCTTTTTGGCCTAGCCTAGGCCCAAGGCTATGTCACATCACTTTTGAAGTGGCTCAAGTAATGCTTCTCTTCGCACCATCTCTCTCTGCCGCCTGCCCTATCTCACTATTCTCACTCATCACAGGATTGGCCAATCACAACGCCGCACCGCTGACTGCCTGTTTGGAGCTCACCTACAGCCACCCCAACCACCCTCCCCCAGCTAGAGCTCGCTCGGTCTCTCCCGTTGTATCGAAGTTCAGGACTTTCCTTGCCCCAATAAACCCGAACACAATTGAGTTGACATTGACAAAAAAGGGGGATTCCAGTAAGGTCCCGCTATACATGTTCCACTGTAGCCTACAATACACCACTTGAAAAAATTTATTTATTTTACCAATAGGCTTGACCAACATTTACAACTACAAATGAATATACAATGCCAACAACACATTAAGTTAAGAAATTAAAGAACACTGAATATTTGTGTTAATGATTTATTGGTACATAAAATGTGCAAACAATTCAAAATAGCGCGTAAGTATTTTACACATTTCAACCACCTGGCCCAAGCAGAGACATTCATTATGAGGGTGGGGGGAAAACAAAAATAGTCTGGCAAACTGGAACAAATACTCAGTTACTTAATTGAACAAAGACTTTTTTTTTTAAAGACAGCCTTGAACACAAAATTGTTCTATAAAGAGGAGCAAAAGAGAGTCCGACTATTGTTATGACAACTGAAAAATATCATCATATTTCCTGTCTCATTTAAACTCAAACACGAACAGTGGTATTGCTCCAACTTGTTTCAAAGCACACTTGAAATAAAAGTGCACTTACTTCACACTGTAACATACTTGGTTAGTATACATTCACAAACCCTCCCTCACTCCAAAATCAAACACTAAACAGCATGTGGTTGATGTATTTTATCTCTGCTAATTCAATCAAAATGAGCACCTCGTGAACAATACTTTCTTAGGGTTCATAGTTTCTTTTCAGGGGTTAGCAAATCTCAAAGATAACAGGAATTCTGACAGCTTTCTCAAAAAAAAAAGAAGAAAAGAAAAAACATAATAAAAGGGAGATGGCGGGGGAGAAATGACGCCTTCATAACTTTAACACTACAGCTATGATTGACAATAATTCTTTTCAAAACAACACCATAAAGACTCACTTCTCCTATTAGAGCATCACCAGATGCAAGAAAAAACAACAAAAACAAGCAACATGTCATTGTTCCAAACTTATGGGAGTAAGAAAGTTACTACTACACAGGGAATTCAACTGAACAGACAATTAATAATGTACACTTAACTGTGGCCATAACCTATGAGCCTTTTTTTTCTGTAGTACTGTTCACAGTACAACCATGTCGTTGGAACAAAAAAAATAAATGTTACAACAATTATAAACAAAAAGTTTTGTATCTAACAAGACATCAGCAAGTCCTCACAAAATGCATAGCTTGTGGAGTGAGAAATCCTTACAATTATTTTAGAAACTGAATGCCGCACCTGAAAAATGGCATAAGCCGAGAAAATGCATTGCCTTCAATTCCAAATTTCTGACATTCCAACGAGAAGAAAATATAACAATAAAACGGTTTCTATTATAATAACAGTTTATCAGAATAAGTTGGAGAACTTAAAACACCACTGCATGTAATTTTTCACACATCTTCAACACTAAACAAACAATGTTCTTTAACCGTTTACAGTCAAAAGAATAATAGACAGTCAACTTTCTATTTTTAAAAATAAAATAATTCAAACATGCTTGACAACTTGTGCCGCCAAAAAAACCCAAACAAACACAGAAAACCCCAAATCATATCATATTTGATCTCACTTCAAGGCCACAATTTTTTTAAATGGCTCCTCTTTCCGCCACAATGAGTGATCCCCTGCACATGGTATCCCACATCAAAAGAAAAAGTAAAATCATCAATGAACAGGATACTTCATTACACCACCTGATTGTTCCTTTCTCTTTAAAAAAAAATATTATATAATGAAAACCTCTTCTGCTACCTGTTCTCTCATTTATTTTTCTCCAGAACCAGAAACCTGACTAACCATAAATGGCATAATGGCCTCCATCCATAGACTGCAAAAATTGTGCCAATGCCTTACACAGAGTTCTTCACTACGATCAAAAGCTGTGTGGCTTATTTCAGGGTCATATTGGAAACGCACTTTCAAATCAAATAAATCCTTGGGGCATATGTGCATTGCCTTCCAACTTAAATCCAGTGCATGCACGCAGCAAACAACGCACACGAGAGTATTCTTTCACTGCACTCATTCAACCAGTTCCAGTCGCTGCAACCACCCACAAGAACAAGATTATGAAACCAACACAGGATAAGCAGAGTCATAAACAAAGAAGGCCAAATACAAACCAAGAACAACAACAACAGGAAAAAAACAACCAAACAAGTGTTTGCTTGAAACTAAAAGGAATGAAGACAAACAGTTCTCTTCTCTACACAATTGGATGTTGATGGGCTTGGGAAGGTAAATCTGTGCTCCTGATCCTAGGGTCAAGTCTGCTGGTCACATTACACTTTTGCAATTCAGTCTTCTGCAAATAAAAAGGAAATGTGCTATGAAACCATTGTTTGTTTTTGTAAGTGTTTTACAGCCGGGTGGCGGCCGAAGCCTACTCTTATCGATTTTAGACCACCAAGGGATCTTTAACGTGCACAACTTGCACACGGGACCTTCGAGATTTTTTGCCCTTGTCCGAGAAGGCTAGGTGTAGATCTTTCCTACCAGAAGATCAGGGGTGTGGCTGAAAGACAGCAGTAAGAAGAAGCCAATGAGTAGCAGTAGAAAGGCTGCAGAAAGAATCAGGAGCCCAGAGGAGGGGGCAAAGGAGGTGAAGGGGTGGGGGGCAGAAAGAGGAGACGAAAGCAGACGACAGAACATTGCTGGAGAGTTGGAAAGGAGGTGAAAGGAGACAAATTTAGAGAAGAAAATTTTTTGGTCGCTACCCGGATTCGAACCTGGGACCTTTGAATGAGAGGCGAACACCTTAACCTCTAGGCCACGAGAGCCCCCGCTATGTAACCAAAATTCTGAAGTAAATCCTAAGACCAAAAAAGTCCTACTACTGACTACTACAACCTCATGTTTCACATCAACCAAAGCAAAGTTCAATCTTGTCAAGAGATCAGTCCACTCTCTGGTTAGCCGTGGAAATGGAATTTACAAGCCCATAGTGATCATAAAAAGGTAGTACATAAAAATAACCTACAGTTTGTCTATCAGCTTACATCAGTGAAATCATTATAAATGAGAATAATGCCAAATGCACTAGCATACATTATCAGTGCTTCCACCAGCTGAAGCTGAAAAGTAAGGAAAATTCTGCAGGGGGTCTGGGAAATTTAGTACTTTAAGAGGGTTGAAAATGGCATTTGGGAGCCTGTTTGAAGAGATTGCCAACAACCCATACTACCTATTTTTTCACCAAGATTTTGTCTTGTTTGATTTCTTCTCCTACATATCTCTCCATTGCTGGCAAAGTTTAAAAGCAGGTTCCCCAGGAGTAGACAAATTTCGGCAGATATGCACGTGAAAAACTATTGCCGACCGAACGGCACAGGTAGACTCGTAGACGAGTGTACGAACTGCGCAATCTGGCAGTTTCTAAGACAACTTATTGCCGAGAGTTGCTGTAAATATCTGACAAGTTACGGAGGCAAGAGCTGATCTCCCCCTCTCTCTCTCTCTCTCAACGCATGGAATTGATATGATAATGCGGCAAGTACAGAACTTTAGGAATATACGGATTTCCGTAAAAACAAAGAATGGAAGCACTGCAGAATGGGTTTTTTTCTTTTTATTCTCTCGGCACCCATCGAAAATCCGGTAGTTTTGACACCTTATCGGTATGTCGGTAGAACAGGCCCAAAATCGGTATCTACCGGAAAAATCGGTAGATTTAGGCAGCCCTGTATATAAAGAACACTCGAATTCAATGACACTGAATGTTCTGAGGGAGGAAATCCAGTGCTTGCAAAAACCTTTGATATGGTGACCAATGCTGTTTTTAAAAAAACAAAAAACTGCCAGAAAAAAGCCTTCTCATTTTCTAAAAATATTTTCTACGTTATTTACGTAACAGTAGTAAAAGCTTGGTATAACACACTCCCTTCAAACCCTGGATTTTGAATGTCTTATCCGAGGTACCTATTAACCAAACCAAATGGTGGTGATAGCACAAAGTAACTGACTAATTCTTTATGAGACTTTATTAGACACTGTTGCAAAGAGAGGAAGGAGGTGGGACACATAGATATATTTAAACTGATTGGCGAGCTTTCATTTTTAATTTGTAAGTTTGATTTTTTTTGGCTTTGTTTTTATTCGAGTGTTTTTCTTTATTTCAAATCCAAGTGACATAGATCTGTACACATGAGGAATTTATGAACATGGTGGGGGTGGATATCATGATAGTGATGATGTTGAAAAATCAAAATGCCGACCTTGTTGCATCAAGGTGTTATTATCAGGGTTTCTTTTTTGCAGCACCAAACAGTGGGTTGGGGACGAGACAAAGTGGAAGAAAAGGACTTGGAAGCAAAAGAGGGAGAGAGAAGGGTTGGGGTGCGGGCTCCAGCATCCACCAACAGAAAAACAGACAAGCTCTTGAGAAAAACTTGCCTTCACACTGTAGCTGATTACACTGCATTCCACAGTATGGTCAAACGCTCACTTTTTGTCATTTTTCTTTTATTTTCAGAACATACATTGTAAACAGGCTTTTCATCACTAAAATCTCAACAAAAGTGGACAGAACTGCAGAAAGTATGTTTTAAGCGGGTACGTTTTAGACAAAGTTTTCAGAGTAAAAATACTAAATGGGATTTGGGACTTCAAAATGTAAACATTACAGCCAAGAGTGCACTTTAAGCCATGTACGCTATACCAAGGTTTTACTGTGCTTCACAAAAAAAAATTTTTGTTAATAAATAGCATCCTTAAAAACTTTGGAAAGTAACATATATATATATATGTGTGAGGCAGCGAGGTGGAATCAGGCTCTCGTCAATTTTTGGGCATGTAGAGTTATTGGTATCATCTTAAAGCTTGTTCACTTGTCTTTATTTGGATGCAAATAATATCCATTTATCTTCAATACAAGTCGAGATATTTGCAAAAGCAGGAGGTGGGGTCACCTGTTTTCAGAGGCAAAATTTGTGAGAAAATGGCCGCCAAAGATTAGTTATTTCGTTAGCTTAAGAGTCCGTGGTAACTGAAGATTTACATTTGTTATGCCTTTAATCAACGCGTTTCAGAAAAATCCACACAGAAATTAGTTCTTTAATGGGCATGAAAGGTGTTGTGTCAAAAACAAAAATTTGATTAAAATTCACAAACCTGAGGAAAAATGCAAGTTTCTTCATTTTGATTATTTTGACGAGAGCCTGATTCCACCACGCTGCCTCACATATATATATATATCTGATACCATGGTAACCACTGGCTGAGTGCAAAAAGGATATCTTCTCTAAAAATCTGTATCTTCACATTTCATCAATGCAAACAAACACATTTCCCCAAAACTCGCATCTACTTAATGACTCACCTTAAAATAATTAAAGGATAAGCTAAATGACTGCCTAAAAGTTAGTTCCCTCAGCTGGCTGGCCTAGGCGGTTTTCTTTCATCATCATCATCTCTCTCAAGTGCTGTAACAAGGATTTTATACTACAATTTTTTTGATGCCATATGCTGTCTACTTTCTTGGGATCAACCTGTTCAAGATAAAAAAAACAAAAGAGGATGAAGAATAAACCAAACAAAAATTCTACTCTATAGCTTTGGGGACAACTACAAGCAATCATGACTTTCTTTGTTCGCTTTTACCAAAAACACAATCATCAAGTTATTTTTCTTCCTAAGAAACACACACAACAAATTTATTGCAGTTCATTAAACAACACTATGGTTTGGCATTCTTACTAACACTCAGTGAAAATAAACCACCACTCTCATTTTCCTGTTTGCTCAAGATAAAATAATAAAGGAATTTCAACCAGACATGTTAATGTTATAGATTTTCTAACTATAATTATTTTACTATTTTTCGGGCACCTAGCCCTTTTTAAAATTTTGAGTATTATTCACAAAATGAAGCAAGAAATAAAAGTTCTAAATAATGTAGTCATCAAATTTGAGAACATGCCACTGAAATTTTTTTTAAAAACAACACAAAAAACTTGTATGAGAAATGTTAAAAGACTTTAGAAAGGGTACTCTGTTACAGTTACACATACAGGAAAAGTTTACAACAAAGAAATCATTTCAAATTTCCTTTTCTCTGATCCAGCTTTTTAACTCTTAAAACCCTGAGTTTTTTTCACCGTTTCCCTGAGTTTTTTCCACAGTCACCTAAACTTGCTGCACTATGTCTCATTATAACCCCAAAAGCTTGCCTCCAACTTCTAAACGGCAGAAACAAAGTTTAATTCATTACTAAAAAACTTGAATCCGGAATAGTTTTTAAAAAACAAGAAATTGTCACTAGTATCAGACGCTTCCAGTATCCAATAGGGAACAGGGCTATTACAGCTGGACGACGCTCCCAACGTCCAATGGGGTTTAAAGAGTTAACCCTCCAACTATCAGACAGCTGATAATCAGCTGTTGGACCCCTCTCCCAAGTTGTCGTGTGCCAACCAATCCAGCGGCCCCAAGTCAGGGGGTACAATAACCCTAGGCAAAAGAGGACCAAGCCTACATGACACTTTCTTCCGTATATTATAGTTATAGACACTGAAAAAAAGTAGGAAACTGACTTTTGGTTCAGGCCTTTATCGCCTTTTTACTTTTGTTTTAAAGGAAGTACTTTGTTGTTGAGAGTTGTTTTCACAATTGTCAAGAATCTACCATTGTTCTTGACAAAAAAGAAACAGCATTCCCCAATCGCCGCCTTCATAATAACATACACACCAAACCAAATAAAACTTAACTGAAAAACCTTGATAGGCCACAGAGGGGTAACAAGGAAAGAAAACTGAGCCAATGCACAGTGAAAAACTTACAACTCCTGACTCTTTGCTGACATACGTCATATTGATGCGTGTGATAAATCTGACTTCAGGAGCTTTCTGAGGATATAACTCTCCGCATCGCACTCGCAGCTGGTACATTCTGTTCTCAAAGCTTGTCTGGGGAAATGCAATGACAATTTTCATTTTAAAAGCAAATCGATACCTTTATAATCTAACTGAAAAAGTGGTGTCTTGAAAATTTTTCTAAGGAATAAAAAATGAGCAAATAGTACTTTTATACAAATCAGTTACAACAGTCGGGAATAGATAACTCAAAACATGTCGGGGGTTGACAAATATGTTTGATACATCCACACTTCAGATTAACCAATAACACAAAATTAATCAAGAGGTATCAGTCAGAGAATTGCAAAGTGTACAAGCTATACTTGTTTTCGAATTTACATGTTCATGTTATCCATACCCAGTTGTATTTACAGCGCTCACTGAGCGACATCGGCAAAGCTCTCCGAACAACAAAAAAAGGACTCAAGAATCTATTTTTTCCAGTTACACTGTGTTTTACTTTTAAGTAGAGTTTTAACGGCGCTCGCAACTGCATAAGGTCATACGAGCATCAAGGGGCGGATGTCAACGGAGAAGTCCGTACAGGGAATCAGGCTTACTGTGCTCACCTCTCTAGCTTCAACAAAACAAAGTCTGCTTCCACTATTAAGGCACCCCGGAAAGAGCGGGTCACAAGAGTGTGACAAACTTACAAAAGAAGTAGAGGAAAAATGACTATAGTAAGGATTAGAAACAGATGGACAGACTGGATCACCAACGAGGAAGTATTAAGAAGAATGAGACAGAGCCCAGTCAGGGTACAATGTAAACAACTTTACAGAACAATTCCTTAACCCTTTTAAACGGAGAAAAATAACTGACAAAACGTTTAAAAGTTTTTAAACAAAAATTTTTCACTCAAAATTCACACAACAAAGCACACAAAAAAACGCGCCAGAACAGTCTTACATCTTGTCAACACTTATATTATATTGAAACAGCAACTTGCACTGGGAGCCCCTTAACATTGCAAAAGAATTTGTGTTTTCCCCTGGGTTATATTTTTTTCAAACTCTGAAAACAAGATAGAGCTGCCTTCTGTGGCAACCAAAAGACACAGCTGATAACTCAGAAAAAAGGAAATTCATCCAGCCTCATCAAGCAAAACGAGAACAAAATCCACTAGTAACAGCATAGAAAGTTTGCCCAATCAAATTTTTATCTGTTTTGAAGATGATGCGTAAAACTTTATTAATAAAAAGATAGTACAGGACTTGAAAAGGGAAAAAGAATACATGCTCACTAATATTTCTGTAGAAAACAAAAGACCAGTAGTCTCATTAAAGTTTTCAAAAAGGTGGGGGAAAAGTTAAAAACTAGTGAAGGTATCAGATTTCCAGTTGTTCTAGTTCTAAATGGTTGTTAAATCTACTTTTTTTTAAAAACATGCCCAATGATAACTTGAAATTTAGGAGAGCAGATTCTCATTGTTCCTTCAAATATGCAAAATGCAACTAAAATGAGTAAATTCTTATCTAATTCTTTAAAAGACTGTAAGGTATATCATTATCATAAATATTTATGAACCAGACAAGTGCCTACCCTTCTCAAAAATGTTAAAATTTAGGGCTTTTAAATTTTAAGTAAAACAATAACAATTATTGACACAAGCAGACAGTTTTAATCAAAACAAATTCAACCAAAGTCATCTCTAAGCTACAAACCTTAGGAGGACCAATGATTACACACTGCCAGTCTGTCATAGTCATGTCGCCATCATCAACAAGACCCCAACTGATTGTCCCATCTCCAACACCTTTCTGTCCAGCCTCTAATTCATCTAGTAAGGTAAAGTTCCTGGGAACCACTGCAGACACACAAAATAACAAGATAACTAACTAAATACGCAGAAAACATAAGGCAAATCTACAGTTTGTCTGGGAAATTAGCCACTCTTGTCGCGGAACTTCGCCACATAGTGTCACACAGGTCTATTGATCTTCCAATTTTTGTTATTAAACCTACATGTACCATTTTTTATAATAGGGAAAACAAGCAAGGGAATCAATAACAAGTATACTTAAAGTGATTTGGAGAAAGCTGTTGAAGCTTTTAAAGGTGGACAAAGCTGCTCTGTGGCCAAGTTCCTTGTCACCACATCCACTTGAAAAAAGAATGAAGCAGATGAAGTACGACTAGCAAGCAAACCAATCAGTGGACTATCTGCATTTTCATTGGCTACGAAAAGTTGCAGACGGTCATGTACGTTGAGCATAGAGAGGGGTGTAGGCTTGTTTCATCGCGAGCCAACTGAGAGTGGCGAAGTTAGCGGAATCTACTCTTACCACTTTCGTTGAAGTTGGAACCGTTTCAGCAGTGTCATTTTAGAGCCTGTGCCAGAACCTACAACCCCTAAACATGTCACAGAGGTCAAAAATTATAAAATACTTCCTTTCAGGTTCAACACCATGAATGTTTAGGTAATCGGTGTTAGTTTCATAATAACTAACAAATAGAGCAGCAAAATTATTATTTTGTGAGAAATTTGGATGTTTGATGGTCACTTTGGGATTCCGATGTGCATAACTATAAGGTACCGCAAACTGGCCTTGCGCCCCCGTGGCGCACTGTCATGGAGACCAAAACCGATATTTTTACCCTCCTAAAACACTTGTGTGATCAAGCATACACACAGACACTTGATATATCAGAAGAAAGAGGAGACTTTTCTCTTTTTAGTGGTATTATTTATTTGAATCAACGATTCTTTTGAAAGCAAAATCTTGTGGGATAAAAGACAACACGATCGAGGTTTTCACTGCAGCGGCCGCGCGTTTTGTGTATTGATTTTTAGAGTGACCTCGGTTGAACAGAAACGGGAAGCGTATGGTATTATATACTGCAATTTGATTCGTCGATAGTTCAAGATGACAAAACGCTCTTTCTGGTGATATATTTCTAAAGACTTCCATAAAGAATTAATAGAAGAGATTAGCTTGTGAAACTTTCGATGTTTTTTTATGGAACCAGTGATCGGACTGACTACGCAAATATATCGGCAGAAAGCCCATTCATTCCTCTTCAAGAATAAGACAGCCATTATACGCAAATAAATACCGGACACTCCCCATCGGCTCGCAAGCAGGGCGCCATCGCCCCGGTTACATATCAATTCTTTCTCCTTCCCGCCAGCGAGGCCCGGAGTGAGGCCGAAAAGCCAGTGGTCCCGAGTGGCGATTTTAAGTTCTCCTTGTATTTCTTGCCATTTTGGTAAAAAAGCCATGTTTACGGCAATTAATTTCCATCTTCTGATTATTTGATAGCCCTGAAAAAAATTGGGCTTGTTCTCTCTGTTCATGGGTGTATGTTTACAAGTTTTTGTGAATGTCCATTCAAATTTAAGAATTGTGACATCTCAAAGTGCAGTCATTTCGCAATTTTTAAAAATATAGCATTTCTGCAACTTCAGATGCTCATAACTTTGTTAAAAAAGAAGATGTATAAATTCGGTATCAAAATGCTCAGAATAATACATTCTATAAGGTGGTGCAGTTAACTATGAAATCAGAGGACTTTGAAATTTCAGTTTGTGATATCTACCTACAACTATGATGATAAAAAATCTCCACTAGATCTAGTGATACTTTAAATCACACAACTGTTTCAAACTGGTATTTCTACCACTTTTCAGTTCAGTTTCAAGCCTTTAAAAAACAAATTAAAAATTCTCATCCGATTGTATGATACTTGATGTAACGCGTCATCAGTTTATGCATGCCGGACAGCCTGGTCAAAAAAGTTTTCTTTTTTAAGTAGCAACATTGTGGTTGATCAATATATGTACGATGTCTGATATTAAGTGGCATACTGACATATTAAGATAATCGAATCTAACTAAGAATTATCTTTTAACTCTTATCCTGCGTCTGTGCCCAGATGCGTATCTTATCAGCAACCGATTACGTCGGACTCGCCGGGCAGGCCGCCGAGGTCACTCAGTGTGTACTGTTGGTGTACAGCGCGCGCGCCGGAAAACGTGTGTTTTCGCCTTGAATACCGCGGGAGTGTGTTAACTGATGATGAAAATAACGCTCTATCCTTCATAGCTTTCTTTATAAAGTGTTACAAACACATGAATAACCCCCTCTCACAAGCTGATAAGATATTACGAGTAGTTACGCCCATTTGAATAACCTTTCTGGACGCTCTTATTGTTATGAATGACGTGAGGTTCGAAAAGGGATAATTTAGGTCAATTTCCGAATGTTTTACACTCAAATTGTTCTTTGAACCTGCACAAGGGCATTCAAAACTATTAAACAAGCTCATTTTTTATCAGGTAGTATCATTCCATACCAAATCAAGCTCATTTGAAATATTTTGTATAGAAAAATGGAAGTCTTGTTTCCTGACTATCCTTTCGAGCTCCTCATGTCTAAGTGGGTCTATTTCTTCTATAATTTCATTGGACGAACATCTAGAGCTATCAACTTGGCATGTTTTGAATGAGACGTATGCCTCGATTACGAACCAACGCAGGTGGTTCTAGAAGAAGGCCACAAACGCACACAAACTCAAGCAGACTGACGCACACACACTTGACCTGCGTGAATGGGGATCCGACTCGGGACACGAATGACACGTAAGAGGATGCGCGCTGCGCGTGCGCTGAGCCAGGAGCTACACTGACTCGGGACCAGAACGCAGGCGAGGTGCCGAAATAGGCTTATCGGGCTACATAAACCCGGCTCCCGCAGGATGAGGGTTAAGTGTCATTTTTTTGTTGTGCATAACTACGATGACAGCGTCATGGACATTAATGTCAATGATCCCATTGAAATAAAGAGTACCAACAGTTTTAAGGAAGTTTCTGTGAATAATCTTGATTCATTTTTAACTGATTCCGTCCATTCGGCCGCTGACAGCGGCTCTGAGTTTTTCCACTGCGTCCATTCAACCGCTGTGTGCGGCTCAACGAAATCCGAAACAAATGTGCACTTTTTAACATAGTTCCGACTTTTTAAATTGTCGAAAGGAAGTAGAACTTGTAAACAAACCTGACCTCAATTTCTGAGCGCCAATATCGATCGAAACTCCGCGAAATTCTTGCAAAAATCGTTGTTTTGTTGTCGCGATGTAGGCTAGATCTAAGGGTAAACAACACGGGGGCTGGTATAATAAAAAGGCCCTTCAAAGAAAGAATATTCAACTAAATTTGTGAAATTCTTGCATAAATGTGTGCTAGGGTGATATCGCTACAATGTTGTGTTGATTCCTATGGATTATTATAAGGACTTGTAGAGCTGAGAAAAAGCGGTAAGTCGAAATTTTCGAAGAGCTGTTGCACAATTTTTTTTCCTCATTCGTAAATTGTCTGAAGGAAAATGCAGTACAAACAGATTATAGGTCTTTGTTATTGATATAAACACATTCCTCTATTTATTCCCATCAGTTTGGTATATGACTATACCTATTAGAGTGACTTAGAACTTCACAGTAATGCATTAAATAGATGCACCCCAGGTCTAAAACTGAACAGGGAAAAATAATTCTGTCCAGAGCCTGAAAAAATCATGGACGGAATCAGTTAAAAATAGAAAGAAACACCAGCTAATTAGTTGAGTTCTTTATATATTCCTCTTTAATTACCTGTATAAAATGGAAATCGTCCAACGCGGAAACGGAAAGAAAAATCCGCTCCCTTCCGAGGGTGTTACCTGTCTAGATCTAGGACAGAAAATGTTTTCCCCCATTTAGTCCTGATTTGAAACAAAACTCGCAAGTTTGGTTCTGTCTGCCGGCTTTAAACTTTTAATGCTATGCTGCCAGTAGGCAAGGAAGGGGAGTAGGGGTGCAATTTGAGGGTAGATGTTACCGTCTAGATGTTACCCCATCTATGTGAGCCCTGAGCGATGAAGATGGTCATGGTGGTGTGGATGTGAAATCTCACGAGTACCAGTGAAAGTGCTAGAGTGGCGCTCCACCACAGAAACTTTCATTGGTAGCCACAGGCCAGAGGTGCAAAATTAGTTTGACCAATGTCTGTCGCCCTGATTGTACGAACAGCCGAGAAAAGAGTTCCTCGAATCGTTGTTATGTTACATGATGGCAGTGAGGGGTGGTATTGGTTGACTGTACTTTAGTACTGCACAGATGTGTGGGGGGGCTGAGGGTGGAAGCAAAGGAGATGTTCAAACGTTTCTGTTTTAATAGGTCAAACAGTGGTCCTATGAAATGCAAGCACTGGTGGTATTTGGATACTGACGCATGTCATCAGAGTATAACAGTATAGCAGCTGAGAGTGAGAGGTGTGAATGAAGTTTTGACCACTTTGTGAAGTTGTGATTGCTTGCCGACCGGACAAGCGACCCTGGCTTGATCCCACTGGCTGGGCCTTTGCCCCCCCCCCCCTGCTTTCCATCTCTCCACTAAATTCGCCTGTCTAAGACGGAAAATGTCTAAAACGGAATTTTTTCTGGCTCCCTTGCGATTCCGTCTCATAACAGTATTAACAGGTTCGGTCGGTCTTTTAGTTAGCAGACTCGATCATCTTATTCTTACTGATACCAGAGTTGTCTTATCTGGATCTAGATCTAGATTCTAGATCTACATACATGTGAAATAAGATTGGTTTCTCGGACGATTTAAATTCAACGATTAGTTGGTTAAAAAGACCCTTGGACGGAAAATAAAATCCTCAAAGAGCAGGGATTTCATAAGCAAAGTCATTTATCCGGCACTTACCCACTCCGGATACCTGTGAGGCACCCGCCATCTTGTATCATGCATTTACTGCTTGCCTGCTTTATGACGATAGTGATTGACCGACAAGAGATGAAAATGTTTGAAGCTTTCGAATTCAAAACAGTTTTGAAGTTGCAGGGGGGGGTTTGTAAAAATAGCTTTTGATTTTTAACTCATTGTCTTTTCTGATGCTGCTGCTTTTTAGGGGGTTCAATTTTTTTCATCACTTGGTAGACGGCACGCATGGAATGAACCGGATGTATTAGCACGAAATCTACAATAAAAACGAAGACACTAAAAAAGGATTTCGGCCTGGAAAATAATTATCTTTTCCAATTTCAACTGTAGAACTCATCGGAACATTGGGGGGGGGCGTGGGGGTGGATGGGAGAGAGAGAGAGAGAGAGAGAGAGAGAGGGGGGGGAGGAGGGAGGGAGAGAGAGAGAGGGGGAGGGGGTATAATGAATGAAGGGTTAAATCGAAAAACAGGAAATGTCCATGTTTAGGAAACATCGCTAGGGTATTCAGAGAGAGCACTACATGTATAGGCCTAGCCCTTGACACACCAAAGTATTTGCAGAATATCCCTATGAAATCGGTCAATACGTGACAAAGCCAACTTGTTATTCACAAACTACATTCTAATACACATTTATAAAATCAAATCAAGTTATTTAGGAACAAGGCAAGTCCATCATTTGAAAGTAAAAAAACAGTCAAAGTTCTGATTTGATTAATGTAATACGGGGTTCCCACTACGACTGGATCGGGGCGATCGCCCGACTCGATCGCCTGAAACTGAAAACAAACACGTTTGTTTTTGAGGCGATCGAGTCATGCGATCGGCCCTATCGGCCGATCCCAGCCGTAGTGGGCACCCCGTACAACTTTGCTTGTCTTAATTTAATCACTTCAAACAGGCCTACACACACACACACGCACACACACACACACACACACACACACACACACACACACACACGCACGCACGCACACACACACACACACACACACACTATATATATATATATATATATATATATATATATATATATATATATATATATATATATATATATATATATATATATCGCTGGTGGAGTGATGAAACCTCGTAACCCCAGAAAGGAAAATTTTACAGGAGAGACAAAAAACTGATTTACTCTTGAATAAAAAGACCTATAAGAACCAAAGTCGGTTTCAGATAAATGAAAACACCTTAGAAACGTGGTTAGTACATAAAAATAGTTTTTCTATTGTTTATGTGGTTACGCTGTGGGATGCGAGGTTTCATTACAACATTTTTGTCATGATGAAACCTCGTAGTCAGCCGGCGGGTGGGTTGCGAGGTTTCATCAGGACAGAGTTTAAGGGTTGCGAGTTTTCTCTCTGCTCATTTTGGTTGCAATATGCGTCTGTTGTTTGAAACGCCCCAAAGTGATAAAGATATTTTTTCAAGACCAATTAGTTTGGATTTTGATTCCCGGCCAACTGAAGTCAAATAAATGTGTGTTACCTGCAGAATTTATGTTTGAATCCTCAAACGGATTGCAATTAATGCAATTTGTTTCACTATAATTTGCCACGATTAAGTCTGGTTACTTTCAGTTTTACTAAGAGCACAAATGGATAATAAATCCCTGCAATATGGTCTCTGTTTGCACTACAGATGGTTTTCATAAAAGATGTTGAATCATAATGAACAGCCATAAATGTTAATGGTATTAATTGTCATGAAGTGACGATGCATATTGGCAAAAGCAGATTTAAGCACATGTAGGTGATTGTATTTGAAGTGCTGGAACTTAACACGTTTTGTGTAGAGTTGTGAGGTAGGGTGGACCTTATGTTTCTGTGACCTGCCTTCGGAACGTCAGCCCTTTCTTCACTGAGGTGCAGCTTGAACTGGGTGTTCATGTTTGGGGTGTACTTCAAACACCTAATGTCGGTGACAATATGATCACCCGTTTTTCTACCTTGTCTTATAGACTTGTCGTAGCTTCCACACTTAGAATATTTCTTGAAGAATGTGTGATCCAACTATTTGTTTTGATAAGTTTCTTGTTTTGCTCTTGCCATCCTGAAGAAATGGAGGTAGTCTTGGAGGACCTCGATGCGTGTTTTTCGAAGCGATCTGTTAATAATTGAGTTCTCATTGTCAATTTCTATTTGTGTGTGTCCTTTGATAAAATGTTTTTGTTCAATTGTGCTTCCATGTGTTGTTGAAAACAGGCTGAGAGAAACATTGGCTAGTGTGGCATTTCTGCATTGGTAACCACAGTTGTCGCTGTTGATGATGGTTTTCTGGAGGTCCAGCTTTTCCTTCAGGAAATCCAATAGACATGAAGTAAACTCATTTGCCATAAGTCCCCCTACTGCTTCATGACACACGTAACAAGTAGTCTGGCGTGTTGTAGCATCCAATAGCATAACGTTATGAACGGCGAGTTTTGTTTTGTAATATAAGGCTGATGCTGAAGATTCATTGAAAGTACAGCCGTTTTAGGTTCATTACTGGCGAGAGATTTGATCGGTTCAGATTTATCTCGTTCCTTTTCTTTGCGCGCCGCCTCCTTTTCTAGAATGTGAGCATTCCAAAGATCCCCCAGCACATTGTCAACTTCACGGCTGATGCAAAGGTGGTACATATCTATCTTTGACAGGAACAGCGACACGTTATTCTGCTCGAATGCTTCATCGAGGGCGGGTCTTTTGAGAGGCCGCCTCCCGTGGTCTTGGCAGACTTGTGCATATATTTTGTAGATATCTGAGTTACTTTGATAAGTATTGGTTCTAAATGTCTCTTACAAATCATTCATCCAACCCAGTTCAATTCAGGAACACCTTTTAACACGCTGGCACCTTATGGCCACCTTTTAAAAGTATTTATTGAAGGTATTCCCTCTCTGGTACCTTCTCCGAGGTCTACTAGTCATCCCATGAGAGGGACCACACTAAATCAAAATTAGAATATGTCTATCAACTTCAGAGAGCCCTTTATATTTCAGAGTCCAGCTCTTGCAATCACAGATTGGTTTCAATAACTTAGCTGGGCTTTTCATTGAATCGTTATGTATTCCGATCCCGTCCCGATCCACGGATAGCTTTTCGCTTATTTGTTGCCACTCCTTAAAACCCTTTCTTTTCCTCTGTGGAGCATCATTTATGCTGGGAAAACAAATGAGCTGTCTCTCGGGATCAGGCTCCAGGAAAAGTGGCTACGGTGCCTGAAAATGATCTACAGATTGTGTTGCTGTGACCTCGAAGGTAATAATTCAGCATCTGACTTACAGCTGCCTGGTGAAACGTCAGTGTGGTTTAGGGTATGATTCCAGGTGACACTATAGTTGGTGCAGACTCAGTCTGGGATGAAGCTGATACTTCCTTATCTCCACATATCCAGGGCAGCCCTGGAAAGGACTGCGACATGGTGGGTGGGGTCAATTCATGGAACGTGGTCTGCTCAGTGGTTTCCAAACCAGCCCTTGTAGGGTATAAAGATCTAGGTGATGAGCACAGTTAGAAGGAGATATTCAATACAGATTCGGAAATATCCGTATTACTTGTGTTGTTGAGGCACACATTAGTCACAATGTCCTCTAAAGACTTCAGAGTCACCGAGACCACGGTCAAGTTCAGTACTATTCGGCCTTAATCACAACTGGAGGATTCGACTACACAGCGGATTCATAGTCTGAGAAGATGCGAAACCTTACCCTCTCTTTGATAAACAGAATGGCCTGTTGACATCTGGAGAGCACAGATCTGTCACCTAGTCTAAGTAAGGACTACCGTCACCTGTCATTTCAAGGTGTGACTGTTGCCTTAACTTAATGTTAACTACGTTTGGGCTCGATGAGAACATCTTGATTATCAGCAAGTTAGTCATCCTTATGAATAGATTTTCAATAGATTTACACAATGTAAGTACTTCATTTATGACCATATTTGAACTTCTGAACTGACTGAAATAAAGTGAATGAATAAAAGAATGAATGAATGTATGGGTGAATGAAGGAATGAAATATTTCTTTATTCCGTCAGATACATTAAATGCACCAGACAATGTCAGTTATGAGCGCTTCAATTAAGCCGGTTCATATAGAAGGCTTGTCCAGAACCTCGTATAAGCACGCCGCTCTTTCAAACCGGGAGTGATGAAACCACGCAAAAGCAGATCGGAGCACCGGGTGAGGGTTGCGAGGTTTCATCACGCCAGGATATCATGGGGGCAAACATACGAGGTTTTCTTATTAAGTATTTTTCCTACTTTCTCTTACTAATATGACCTAGTGCTTTTGACACATTGTGAAGAAGGACTGGAAGAAGACATTAAGCCCAAAAAACGAATTTCGAAAAAATTGAGGGTTACGAGGTTTCATCACTCCACCAGCGATATATATATGCGAAAAAGAAGAATTTTAAGAATCAAAGGTTAAGGGCTCTGATCATACCCCAACTGAGAAAATAATGTTAATTGAATCATTATTGTTACCAGCATGGGAGGGATGGCATTGTTTGACTTTGCCTATAACAATTATACCGATTGTTGGGGCAGGGGTGGAAGCAAAGGAGATCTTTGAAGTTTCTGTTTATAATAAGCTAGGTCCAACAGTGACCCTAGGAGATGCAAGCAATGGTGCAACCGATAAAGGACTGACACAAGCCAGTATCAGAGAGGCTAGGATAGCACTTGAGATGAGTCAAGTTTTGACAACTTGGATTCCACCGCCTGGGCTTCTGGAAACCCTCTCCATCTCCCTCAACTCAAAGTTAATTCCCTTTTCTAAACTAGCACGGAAAATAATGTCGAAGTGCTAAGGCTGATCCCCCCCCCCCCCCCTGGCTCCCTTGCGATTCCGTTAAATTATATAGTCTGCGTAAGTCGGAATCGCAGGGGAGGCGGTAAAAATTCCGTCTCAGACAAGTTCCCTGTTCGACGGGGGCGGGGGGAGGTGGTGGAGGGCGGAGGGAGGTTTCGCAGAGACACAGCCGGTGGGATCAAATCCAAGGGTTGCCTTTCAGGTCAGCAAACAGTGGTCAAAAGTTCACACCTCTCAAGGGCTATCCTTTCTGATAATGGCATGCTTCAGTCATACTTATCC